ATATATATTCACTGTGTGAAACGAGCGCTTAAAGAGGCGCATTGCCGTCTATGTGCACATTTTGTCTTCCGTACCCATCTACGCACAAACGGTATAAAAATCTACACAGAAATTTTAGTTGAATTCCGTTTTTCATACGAACCAGTTCAATATAGAGCCGGGATTGCGTAGTCTGTGCAGCGACTGGCTACGCGCTGGGCGACAGAGGGGTCTGAATTCGAATCCCGTTAGGCTCAAGAATTTTCTTTTCTCCACGTTGTAGAGACTGTCTCTGGGTTCCACCTAATCTTCTATCCAATGGATATCGTAGGCTCCATCCCTGAGAGTAAAGCGATCGAGACGTGAAGCTGACAACTCACTCCAGTTATTGCCGAGGTCAAGAAAATATGGATCCACTCACCAGAGGCCTTCATGGCGTAGTGCAAAATTAGTTAAGGACAGGGCCAAGTTTACCTTACCAGCTCACTACAACCCTTATTTTATACAAAGAATAAATTGAAGTGTATCCGATTTCATTTTCATTGCCGGAAACTCGACAAAAATGAGATTATTTGAAGCTCGATTAATAAACGTTTTTGACACATTTATTGCTAATCAGTAGCAAACGCAATATCTGCTAGAAACATTATCATTGCCACGTTGGCAGTATATACATAAAATGAGTTGAGTTACAAATAAATTGCCACTCCTACGCGTGAGAAACAGAGAATATTTGTTTTAATATGTGTATATTTATTGCAGAGTTTGGGCATTCTGTAGGGGTTGAGGTTCTCGTGGTGATGATTATGAAAAGTTCTGTCTTTTGGGATATATGGACATGTAGTCTGTTAAAAGTCAACCGACGTTTCGGAGGAACGCGAAAGCAGGTGGCAAGTAAAGCTATATGCATTCATGCTGGCTTCTTACTTGGCTTATTCTTTGACCCTGAAAATGGATGCAAAATGTTCTTCGGAAACGTCAGTTGACTTTCAAAGGACTGCACGGCATTATATCCAAGAAAAGAGAACTCTTTTGGGAATTCTGTTTCGAAATACATATATATGCTAGGCATGACATTGGCCCTATTTAGCAAACACAGTAGGCCTCTGATATTCATTTCAAGCCCGCGTAACAATGGACTCTTTTCGTGGATACTTACGTTAACAGACCTGGGCTGAGAAGGGAGTGACAAGTAAACTGTTGTTCTGTTGCAACTGACGTACAATGCAGCTCTAAGGCTATATTTTTTAAACAAATAACACAATAATTATTTACATTCATCAGACTCAGTCGGAGTTAATTTTAAATTTAAAAGGTGAGAGAAGTTGTCTCACGCTATGAAAACGTATGGGAGAGTGGAGGTATAGTTCCATGCATTCCTAACTTCGGCATCAGATGGATGTGAGTGATGACATTCATATGGGTTCCGCTTTAACGTCTGGGAAAGAACTACCGTTAACGACTGATTAGGAGTCTGGGTGCATTCCAGTGACGGTGCTGATACTGTGGAGACTACAGAATCCTTTGATCCCATCAGGAATCAAATCCAAGTTCCTCAGCCTTCCAGATCCTAGCCTAGTCGCTATATCGACCGAGCCATCCCGGTCCAGTTGAGCAAAACGTCATGAGGAAAATATCTGGCTAGGCGAGACAGTAGAATAAGAGGGACATGACAAATAATTCTCATATTTTAGTCCCGTAATCACGGTAGCCGAGCGGCCTAAGGCATGTACTGTCTTGGAAACCGGGATCGTGGGTTTGAATCCCACTCAGGGTATGGATGTTTAGTTTGTGTGTGTGCGTTTTTCTGTGTTTGTGTACAGGCAGAGGCCTTGCGACGAGCTGATAACCCGCCCAAGAAGTCCTACCGAATGTGTAAGATCGAGAGAAACCTAAGTGAACGGAGAAGTTCATGGAGGTAGGCCTAGGCCCACTGGGGCTGTAGTGCCAAGGGGAAAAAAAACCTAAATGGAGAGAAGATTACTAGGGAGACTTGGGCGTATGTGGGAATAATATTAAAAAGGGGTTAAAAGACGTAGGGTCTTAAGTAAAGATACAAACGATTCTGAATAGGGATCTGTTACGGACTGTTGTGAATTCGGATTCCATAAAATACGAGGAAATTTGCTGACTAGCTGAGCAACTGTCAATTTATCAAGAAGGCCTCCGCATAAGGAAGTTAATTGCTTCTAAATGTAGTTTTATATTTTCCTGGCATCGAGTTCATAAGACGAAAATAGAAATGGAGGGGTGGTGGCTATTAGAACATTTGTCTGTTCTTTGCCATGTTTTATCTCCAAAACTATTCAACAAATTTCGATAAAATTAGGTACTGGAAGTCAGGACTGGAATTCATGGGGCTGATTTTATTTTCTCCCGAAGCAGGCCAAAATTGAACTTGCCCAGAATACTTTTCAGTTAGAGCTATATCTATATTTACATGTATACCTTCAAAATAAATTTCAAGCTCATGATATTCGTGTTAACATTCGCTTCCCGTCTTCGTTCCGAGAACAAGTAAGCCTTTAAATACAGATTTATAATTTTATTATAAATTTAAACCTAAGGAAGAAATCCGATTAAGAACAAAGAGGCTATAAAGGACGGTATTTTGTATTATTAGCTAATGCTACCCATTTTTATAGAAAATACTTAATGTGAGATTTCATTTAGGGTTCTTGTGAACACGGTAATGAATCTTCGGATTCCATAAAATGCTGGAAAATTCTTGAGTAGCTGTACAATTGGCGGTTTCTCAAGAAGGGCTCAGTCCTATGAAGTTATTATAGTTAGTTACAGACTTCAATAAATTCTGCTCATGACCTACAACTGTTAAGATAATTAATTTGAGAATTAAATGTACGAGGTCTGACAATAAAGTTCGCGAACTCGACACTGCGTGCTTTCCATGGTAGCAGTGGATAGAAACCTCAGTAAGGTTTGATCACGTTGGCATATCAGAGTTTCACAGCTGTGTTGTTGTTGATCTATAGCAGTCTCTTTCTGAGTGGTTTCTATTAAAGTCTGGGAGTTTGAATGAGAGCAACGAATGAACTTTAATTTCTTGTTAAACTTGGCAAGAGTGGAAGGGAAATCACAGAAATACTAGAGAAAGTTTACGGGAATGTATTATTAAGAAAACAATAGTTTACAGGTGGTTGACAAGTTTATCTGAGAGAAGAGAAAGTGTCACTGACGACGGGAGATCAGGACTACCAGCAACGAGCAGAACTGAAAAAACAATTCAAAATTCATCACATTTTGCGTGAAAATCTTCGGCTGACTGTCAGAAGCATAGCAGACCAAGTGAACGTAGAAAGGGAAACAGTTAATAAACTCTTAACAGAAGATCTTGAAATGAGGAAGGTGTGTGCAAAAATGATTCCTAAGGACCTACTCACACGGGACTGTCTGTGAGGGAGTTTTTAGCTAATAAACAAATAACTGTGCTAGAATACCCTCCCTTTTCACCGGATCTAGCTCCTAATGACTATTTTATGTTCCTGAAGGAAAAGGAAATATTGAAAGGAAGGTATTTTGTTGACACTGATGACATCATGCGGAATACGAAAGTAGTTCCGAAGGTCATTACACAAAACCAGTTCCAAAATTGTTCTGATGGGTGGACTAGGCGCTGGAATAGATGCATAGCTTCCCAAAGAGATCACAGTATTATGCAGCGATGAGGTATCGTGCACGTTTACCGCGATGCGTTCGCGAACTTTATTGTCAGATCCCGTATATGTTTCACGAATAGGGAAAAGGAAAATGCTTACAGAATATAGATTGAAATACCATATGAGAATGTATCACTTGGAGCAAAAGGTTAATTGAATGTCAGCAAGGATGAGATGGCTCATGGTAGAATCTAGTGACAGAAATAGCACTAGTGACTGTAATGAAATTCATGGATCCATAATAGCAGGAAGTCTCTTCATCGCGTCAATCATTATCAACTCTTCAAGCAAATTCTGTAATAAGAAGTTAGGTACTCGGTAGCGCCTGTTGCTTCATATGTTGATCTATCTATCTCTCTATGGCGCTACAGTCCTTCAGTTGGATCTTGGCCGCTTTTTCAGTTTCTTAATCTATATACAGTCTGTAGGACTCCTTGGACGGGGGATCAGCCCTTCGCAAGGCCGCTACCCACATACAGAGCAACCCAAACACAGAATAAAAGCACAGAGCCATTAATACCTTGCGTGGATTTGTGTCGATGTATAGATCCACGTTTTCTTGACCTCGGCACTAGTTGGAGATGAGTGGTCAGCTTCACACACGGGCTCCTTTACCCCGTTGAAAGAACTCCAGCACCCGTTGGATAGAAGGCTGAGTGGACCTCAGAACCGGTCTCGACGACGTGGAGAGAAGTAAAATCTTGCTCCTACCGAGACTAGAAATCTGATCCCTCGCACATCCATCCTGTAGCCATTCGCTACACTGACCGATAATACATACTTTCATATAATACAGGTGGTTCAGTTAACATTTCCTACAAGTGGGGTTGGCTGAGAACTACAGTCTAAGTGGCACTGAAGATGGCTGAGATGGCGAAGTGTGTCTGGTAATGAAATTTGCCACAATTTATGAAAAATGTATATTGTCATTCACACGAAGTCGCTTCGTAAACGAACGGCAAAACGTGTACTACACGTTAACAATGTAGAAAAAGAAGAAGAAGAGTTCGTGTAGCCAACATTAGGAAGATGAAAACAAAATACACTGAAAGGACAGCTGATAATACGTCAACGTAAGCAGAAAGAAGTATTTAACATGAGATAACATTCATTCAAGCTGTAGCTTACCCGTATTATCTTGCAATGGTTCAGCTACTAAAGGTATGATGGAAAAAGTATGTTTATTAATTTATTTTCAGCGTTATACTCGTATATTCTGTGTAAATACAGGTGACAGGAATTCATGGGACAAAGAAGGGATAGCACAAAATATATTGCTGTATGATGTACAGATTTAAATAATGGCCAGGCAACACGTAATTTCTGTTCCTGTGTCTATTTCAGCAAGCTGTAAAGAAGAACAGTGGAGGTGGATGTGGCAGACTTGATGGTGTCTCTGACGACACAGAGTTTGAACTGTGGGATTCGCGATTTATGCTCCGCGGGGATCATGAGCCTGAAATCGGATATAAACATGCCAGGTACGCTTTAGCAATTCACTTAGGAGGTCTGAATAACACTGGACTAATATCCTTCCTACATAAACTGTCAGCCCCCACTGCTCACATTTGCAAGGTTAGATGTGCTTTGTATTTCATATTAGTAGCAATTCCTTCTTCCTCATATAACAGAATTTACGTGTATGAAACAGGAAAGAACATCCCACGATATTATCTATACAAGTTAATTATCATCATGGTTTGAGACAAAAATAACTTTTTCACAAATATAAGTGATCAAGCATGGTAGGAAAGTATGTTCTGACATAGTTTAACAAGGTTATCAAGCCATCGAGAGCCTGGTTATAAACAAAATGGTGAGGTCATGTAGCAGTATGTTTTGTTGAATCAGTTGTTTTGTTTCTCACTACATAACCATCCACCATGGTTGGGATATGTTTGTATTTCAAAAAAGAACAGGCAAATCAGTTGTGGGTTTGGTACTGTTTGATTGGCAACACTGTATTATAAACATTATATAAACGGAAGAAGGTCCCAGTTCGGTATTTATGACTGGAGTTTAATCATTTCTCAAGAAATTTTGTATATGAAAACTCTTTACAGTTGCATATGGTTAAGCAACCATTTATGCATGTTGAATAATAAATTTTTATAATTCTGTGTCTTTAGGTCATGGCGCTAAGAATGGTTATAGTATGTGGTAATAAGCAATTTGTATTAACATAATTTATGCCCAGACATGGACAGAGACTGAAAGAAAGCAGCATTTGCCAAAACTTCTTATTAAAGCATATAAGAAGTTTTATGGCATTTTGTTGGAAACTGTCATGAACTGTTAGATAAATAAACACAATGAGATGTTAGGGAAAAAAATGTAAAATGAATAGGATTATTTTATGTTACATCCAAGAACACTGTGAGGACCTAAAATCAAACAAGTACATACACACCTTTTTGAGATAAATATTCAGATATTACCATTTTAATCACATTCACAGAACAACCAGATCTCCTGTATATACACGTAATTATTGTACATGGTTTAAGGTACACAATGCATAATTTTTACTTGTTTGGGTTTGTAAGGCATGTTGTTATGAAATAAATGATTGTACTATGTGACCATATGAATTTATCTGCTACAGGTGGGGTCCCCGCGGGTGGTGCAAGCCTTCCTGTATCCCCATTACAATTATCCTCATCCTTATTGTTCTGGTAGTGCTTCTTCCACTGATGGAGCAAAAGGAAGCTGGCAGCGTTAATTCATCTCCAAGATTCTGTCCTCAGACCTGCAGGTATAAACAAGATTTACAATCCATTTCTAATGGCTGACAGATATGTAAGCTATGCAAACATTATGTTAATAGAGTGTTCAGTCATGCTCAGATGTCTAAGGTACACACACATGTCCTCAGTCAAGATTTTGGTCACAGAATATCTGGCTGATGTAAATAAACTGCTGTAAATTCTCCTACACAAAGAAATATATGAGACATTCTAAACTTATTAAAAGATAGGTGAAAATTTCATTTTAATAGTTGTACAACTTATAATCGTATTTGAGTGCACAGAAATAGTTGCTAAACAAGCAAATTTTGTGTGGAATGATTTAATCTCAGAACACTAAATGATGTTGCACTTAAAGGACAGTGTATGGTTAAAATCTAAGCATGTGAGCGAATGACTTTATCATTTCAAGATGAGATAACAGACAAGAATTTGGAAAAATTTCAAGAATTTAAGTGAGAATGAGATTTTTCTCTAGTAGACAGATTTTTTCACCGTGCTAATTTGTAACACTCACCACCTTTTCCACAACTACCATATTTACCTGAATGCAAGATGACCCTGCACTAGAAACATGTCTGTACAGAAAAAATAGGTTTAAGAATTAATTTCATAGTCCTATTACAAATATGTGAAAGAAAGTAAATAATATAAAATATATTATACATGAAATTTAATGAATTAGCTTCAGCTAATGAATATAATAATATAATAATGAATTATTCAGCTCTACTCTCTCTGTTCACCTTTCTTAAGTGCCATCAGTTTCTGTTCACCATTTCTATCACCTCTCAGCTTCAATGGCTACTCAATTCCCATCTTGTCTCATGTTCACTCCCAACATTCCCAGCTTATTCCTAATTTTCCCATCCACTTCATCACATATACAGCAACTTTCAAATCCAATGACTGTCATTTCTGGAGAGATCTGTTGCCATGATCTTGACTGACTCGCACATTGGCTTCACTGGGCTTCTTTATCATCTCTGTGGTGTCAGAACATAGTACCCTACCAAGAACCATGCAGAATAACAGTCACTTTACATTATCATTATAAGACATATTCTGTAGAATATGTAATTAGGAAGTCCCCTCCAAGTGTGACCTCTATGGTCACACTTGGTATGGTATGGTCACACAATCAGTATTCATTGCATGACTCACANATATTCTGTAGAATATGTAATTAGGAAGTCCCCTCCAAGTGTGACCATAGAATCAGTATTCATTGCATGACTCACGGATCTGGCATCCAGTGTTAAATGACCTTCCAGTGTATCCATCACAAGTGGTCCTTGTATTCTCATCATTATGCTTGGTCTTCTGCTCCAGAGAGCTTTTAACCAGTCCCCCACCAATTCCCTGTCCCTTGGTTTGACACATGATTATTAGCCTCATTGGCAGCTGCACCTTACAGTTCCTTTGATTCACTATCAAACATGGTTATAGTTCTGTGCTGTCTGCCTACTCAGTCAGTATTACAGTCATATCAGTTTATTGCCTGATGCGCTTTTAATGGCAGATCTTGCATCTGTATCACTGACTGTGTATTGGATAGCATATCAAAATACAGTGGCATTTGATCAGCATTGTCTCAAATATAATGGTAACTTTCTGCATTGTGAGGACGTTCACCCTAAAGTAAACTGTTCTGTGTCACTTCTACCGACCATCTTCAGCTGAAGTTATGTCATTAGACCCTTGATGAGTAATTATGCATGACAGACATTCCACTCTTCAAATTCATACAAGTGACATTTTTTGCTTAGAAATGGTAAGTTTCAGTTTGTCTTGTTTCCACTTTTGGACATTTGCCTGGAATATGCAATATTTTCTTACTGCATCGCATTTGTTTCTTTGTTCTGTGTGCTTTATCATTCTATGTTACCAAGGATTTAAATACCATCACACAAGACAGAGGAGAATTAAACTTCATAAACTTCGTAAAAATGTACTCACTTTTTTTCTGTCTCCTAGTTGGGTTTGTCTGAAATTCTTGAGGCACATACTCAGAAGCATATAGAATTTGAAGAAAGTTGTCTTCTGGGTTTAGGCGCCGTGTATTCTTCGTTTTGGCCGACGTTTCGGAGGAACGTATCGCCTCCATCTTTAGAGCAGTTGAAGCCATTCAAGTTGAAGTCATCGCCGTGAAAACCTCAAAACTTACATATAGAATTTAACTACATTGTGAAACATAATGCAAAGTTGTGCATTACCTTAGTAATTAAGTTTAGCATGGTAAACTTCCAAGTAGTCCTCCAAACAGAGGCCTGCACCACACTCCCTGCAGCAGCCTACAGTCTCTTTCCTGTTACTGTGCTTAGTACACACAATACATCTTCTCTGTGGGCTTGATTTCGTTACTGTGAGTTACACTTTTCTCAGAACACGATGTGTTGTGTGCATCTTTTGTGTTATTTTCTCCGTTACATGCCTCCCTGGTTTCCCTACTTTTCCTTCACTTGTTATCCAATATTTTGAAAATAGGCCCTTCACTAGCAAAACTCTAGGTAAAGGACAAGAGCTTACCATAACCCTTTCAATACATTATCAGGGAATTAAGCACTTAAGCATTCAACAGTCTTTTGAAGAGTTATTGATACTATTTATGCATCGTTTTCCTCTCAGTCAAGTATACATAAAAAACATCTTATCTTTCAAATCAGTTTCTCCCATATATTTATTGTACTGTATCACACTTTGCTACTTACATTCCTCTGGCAGTGTCTGCCCTCTTTTCATCACTATGGTATGTTGAAATCATTCTAACAATTTTATCCTGAATGCTGGCTTATTATCTCTCCCTTCTTGAATTTCTTCATCTCCACTTCAAGTGGCACATTCTTTCTGTTCAATCCGAACATCTGACGCTGTCTCAGGGTCATTGTCATGAAAGCTTCCTTCAAAATGGTGAGGGCTTCTCCAGATACCGTTTGCAGTGTGTAGCATTGATTCGGCTGCCTTTCAGGCCATCCAGCGGTGATGTCGGGCCTGGACACAGTAACGTACCCGCTGGTGTCGATCACAAAGCATCATTTGTCATCCTTTGTCCCTTTCCTTTATGGTGGTCAACATTTGGTGGGGGGCCTTAATGTGTAAGCCTTGCATCTTCCCTTTTCCGGCAGCACCTACTCATTTCCCAATGGTTGGCCAACCCTTATGTCTGCTTTTCTGTTGTTTTTCGGTCCCTATTTGGACCTTCTTGCCAGTTCCTGTGTGTCTGTCAGAGGTCTTTCTTCTCGTTTCCCTTCCTGATCGTCATTTTCAGCCTCACTCCCATAGGGACAGTTACACCAGAAATGGCCTGGCTCTCTACGGTTCCAGCACGCAATCATCTTTGGTCTCTTCTGCCTGTTTGGGGGTGACTGGCTTCCCCAGAATGTCCTGGCACTCTTTTTTTTTTTGGGCCTGGCTGCTAGAAGCTCGGTCTGAAGCTCTAGGGCTTGACTGAGAGCCTCGTTCACAATTTCCTCACCTCACAGCAGCAGCTGAATTTTTATGCCCAGATCTCTTACCTGATCAGCGAATGTCTTGCCTGCCTCCCTTCTAATATGGTCCTCAGGTAGTGCTGGGTAGGCGCGGTGGGCCAACTGTTCAATGGCTATGGCAAATTCTTGCAAGGATTTTCTGACACACTGGGTCCTGGCTTTCAGATGACTGCAATTCGCAGTGGTCAGTTGCTGTTCCCAGAAGTAGTCCTCCAGGACCTCAAGGGTTTCTTCATGTGTTGCGTCTTTTGGGACTCCATGTAACACATTGGTGGCCTGGCCCTGCAAATATGTGGATTTCTCCAGGCACATCTAGCAGTTTTGCTTTGCTATGGTCTGGAACTGGTGCCAGAACACAGGCTATGATGTAGCCATGTCAAACTTAAGTGTCTTGTCCGTACCTGCTCTGGTTTCTGTTCCTCTCCTGCGCTTATCTCAAGCCTCAACTTCTTTTTACTGCATCTGGAATGTGTGTTGGTTGGCATCAGTACCACCTTCATTGACTTCACCACGACCTGGAACATGAAGCAGAGCTTTTTGTGAAGGTCCTTCCTTGTGTCTACTAGGGTTTCCAGGAGACTCTTCGTCCACATATCGAAGGACATCCTTACTGCCTATAAGTCCACCTGTGTTTCATCAGTCTCATCAGGCTCTTCCAGAGCCCTGTTTCTTTTGGTCGACACGTGGTAGGACATCTTCCATGTCTACATGCCACAATACTGTGCAAGACATCAGAACCATAGTCAAAGAGGAAGTGAAATATATGTGTGCTGTGATCAACAAAATTGTTGCCATTAGCAGAAGAAGTCTTATTACATAATTATCCAGGAATCTCACTTTTATCAGGTCTGTACACAAATTTTATACATTCTCCTGATAAGGTTAACTCCATAACATAAGGAAAATATGCTTGGGGTCATCAGTATTGATTCTAATTTAAGGGATCAACTACCGAGCAGACAGTCTGCATGTGTCACATATTAGAAAAAGGATGATAGTATGAAGGGACATTGCATCACTTATTTTAGACTTCAGAAAACACAAATACTCGGGTGCAACATTCTTATTCAGTTTGTTCTGGAAACTAGTTAAGAATAAGACAATACATCACTTATTTGAATCTAGAAAAGGGGCTGTGATTGATTTACTATATTTTTATTCAATTTGTCTCAGAAAACTTCTTAAGCTAATCAAGTTCACTAAATTAAATTTATAGTAAAATCTGTATGGGTAAATATTTGTCAGACACATTTTCTGTTCAGAGTAGTCTAAAGGAAAGCAGTTCTTTGTCACCATGGAATAGTTCAGCTTCTGGGATATAATGCTGGTTGACTTTGCAGGAAAGATTGTGCACTGGATTTAGATCATCATAACCCTTTTTCTCTTAGTATCTCATTTAAAAATATGACTGCAATATTGAATTTTAAAGAATGCAGGACTTCTGGAATTAAATGGCTGCAGTAACAAATTTAACTGTTGGTGGAGTATTAGAAACCCACTGGGACAGATAACAACCTGTAATATATTCACATAACAAGTTAACACGTTAAATCTGAGAAATGCTTACTACATTTTGTTCACAATCCTGTATATTTACCCATGTCCTTTCTAAAACCTTAATGATTAACACACTGATATATTGGGTTTTTGGACTTGTCATTATGCATAAGAAAGAAGGTGTTTCTTCAGTACTCTATAATGAGGTGATAAATCTGAAAGGTGACGTTTCTGATAGAATTATTGGCACTGTATAGTAAGAGGGTAAGCCAAATGTGCCTTTGGGCTAAAATTGACCACTGCTTCCATGAAATTGAAAAGCAAAGAATTTGTAGAAGTGACGTCATGTTTTTGTACCAAGCGACTTATATGCACATACCTTGATTTCAGGCATATTTTCTGTTTCTTTCTGTACAAAAATGTGTGGGTCTTGTTATATGTCTCTTTAATGTTTTTACCATAGATTCAGCCTTGTGGAGAGCATACCAGAAGGGTTAACATATCCAAATAATACTGCAGTACATCCAACTACTCATGATGTATGGTTTGAGCTCATCAAGTTGGCACAACATTCAATTGAAATTGGTTCCTTCTACTGGACACTCCGCAGTGCTGACATCACTCCAGGAGACCCCTCTTCACTTAAAGTAGTTATCTGAATGTTGTTATTAAAAGCAACCATAAAAAGTAAACCTGCTCATAACATAAAACTATGAAACTTGTCTTTAAAAACGGGCCTACAAATAGTCCTCTAAACACTGTTTAACTTTTGTTGCAGTTAACTATCAGATCAGAAGGGTGGATATTTTTGTGCAAATAACTTCTCTTAGGAAGTGAACACAAACATTTAAAGTGGTGGAGCATTAGAATATGGTTATAAGTGATACTAGTATGATATAATGGAATGCAAATATGGTATAATTGTTACACAGTGGAAGATGGTACTGGTGTTAACTTAGGGCATGTCTCAGATATAAAAAATAATTTTGTCTTACAATTCCAAACATCATTATGGTTCAGTGGGTAGAAGTCCTGGTAGAACTCCAAGTTCATATCTCAGCCTAAATACCTATTCTGCTGACTAAGGTATTTTTTTGGTTTTCCTCAGTCCCTCCAGGAATGTTGGCTAGTATCTGAAATTAGGCCATGAAAACTTCCTTCACTCACTGTTATCCTGCCATTCAACTCTATGCAAGGTGATAAAGTCACATGGCCAAACTTAGGAGGCTGTTGAGGATATCATTTGTAGCAGAAAATATAAATAAAAAGTTGTTGCCACCATTTCATTTCAAACTTGTGGTTTTGATTTTTTTGTATGTTCACATACTTCATTTGCTTATGGGTCACACTACTTCCAGTAGCAAATTAGTGATAATAAACAAATGAAGTGCATGATTTTCTAGTGCAGAGTATGCCATTGCATTTCATGTAGATGTTCTCTGATGGAAATGATGAATCTGGATCACATTTGCAGCTGTACACTGTCTGAACTAAATAGGTATATTTATTCCACCAGCACATGACAGAGGTGGCTGCAATGTACAGAATGAAGAGGAAGTGTCATATGCTGTACATGCTGATCCATCAGTTAGCACTTGTTGGGTTGCATATGAAACAGTCCTCTCTGAAAGTGTAGTTTGGCTAACACTGTATGAGGAGCAGTTGTATCCTTTTCATGTACAAGTTATACAACCACTAGAACCAACGAACAAAAATCTTTGCCTTCAATTTTATCAGTGGCTTCTATACAAAACTGTGTATGAACCTAACTCTTTGTGCCACAGATGGTAGACTGATGATGCAACATTCACACAAGCACTGGAGTAAAAGTTTACACAACCTACACGAATAGGCACTGGAGAATCCTCACACCACTCGCTGCTCTTCATTAAAAAAAAAGTTAATGTCAGTATTTAGGCCAGAATCATAGGTGATTATCTAATTGAACAATATACAAGAACGAACGATCTTGTGGAATACAGTAACCTGATTTCCAAGAAAGAACAGTTTCCCTTTTATTGTAGGATGTACCCTTGATATTTATGAGTGCAGGAGGTTTCAGTGTAATGGATTCTTTCCCCACTTTCCACACCAATTGTGTAATTAGCTGAAAAACATGAGGACAGGCCACATTTCTGCTGAATTGAACCAACTTGCTTCCTTCTTATGATGTTGCATTGAAGAAGAGCTCATGCAACAGAAGCAGGAATTTGCAGCTACCTGATTGGTTGCATCCTGCTGCCTTTGAGCAACATTACTGCTGAACTTAGGCAGCTAGTTCATGTCAAGAACTACAGTGGACATCACTATGAAGTATGAATGCAAGGTGACAGCCACATCAGTGAAAAGTGTTTGAACAAGTATGGAATAGCCTCAGTTGTCCTGTGTGACTGTGAGGCCTTGGCTAATTTAAGATTCTGTCACCTGAAACATTATTTTACAAACCAGATGACTATTTAGATACATCTTTGAGTAAATTACTACACTGAATTTGAAGCGTGGGAGTACCGGAGGCTGTCTGGAAAGGGTTGGACAATATACTGTACATGGTCACAGTGTAAGGGCCTCTTTGGCCAATCCCTTATTCATTCTTTTGTGTGTCCATGGCAGAAGAGCTAATTTTGATCAGTTGCTGTAAAGAAACACAGTGAAATCCCAATTTAGTGTTCCCACATTTGGTGAATATTTATTGTAATCCCAGCCAGATTTCTGTATAAACAATGTGTTTTTTGCCATATTAGTGAATTTTGATTTAGTAAATAATGCACATTTAGTGTAAGCAGTGATTGATCTTCATAGATCGATGTAGTGTGATCATGGTTTAAACAACCTATATTTGCATATTCTTTTTGCTGCCAATCATGACTGTCAGATCTTTGATGAGTGATGTGCATGAGTTGAATTTCGTGAGTAGCATATCTTCAGTTTATTGTTGGTCATGGCATCTGTAAGGAGGAAGAAGCTTATAATTAGTGAAAAAGTTAGAATTAGCTAGAGTTAGTAATTAGATGTAATTTTGGTATAACATCCATTTAGTGAAACCCCCTACTAATGTAAGAGATCCATTATATAGGGATTTCACTCTATGAAAAACTGTGTTTGTATGTGCTCAGGGATATACAAGCATTTCATTTTCTTGAAGGCCACAAAATATCATAGCTTGACAAGGGTGATGAAGTAAATAACAGTTTATTTGCATTTTATACTCCAATTTATCACCCTAACAACCTACTATAACTTTTCAAAAGAATGTTATGTTATTTGCCTATAGCCATAGCTGTTAAATAAACTGATAAATAATTAAATAAATTAAATTTCAGATGTGATATCACTCATTATTCTCCTCCCTCTATGCAATCTGGTGCTTGGGCTTACAGGTTTCTTTCACATATTTACTTTTGAAATGGGATGAACTTACATGACATTGACAGATTTTTTCTTTACATTTCCAGTGTAGATGGCTCTGCCATTGACTGTGATGGTTGTATGGAAGTAACTAAATAGGATGAGCAAACTTATTTGTCACTGTTGCACAGGTTCAGTCTGCTGAACCTATAATATAGCAGTATTCGGAAATCACAACAGTAATTCAATAATCGCAAGCACCCAGGGCCATCATCAGGTGGTTTGCAATTGTTCACTTAATGTTTGGTTTGACACAGTATCTCTTAAACTGTCTAAAATATGTAACATGACTACCAACAAAGTACTGTTTGTCATTTGAGAGGATACTTCATGTTCATATACAGTGTTTAATTGTTAGTTTTTCGATGGAGGGGAGTTATTAATGCTTCAAGTAGCTTGACTGATGGATGATAGGTGATGATGAATTGAAAAGGATTTTGAAGGAAGCAGTTCTTGCCTGATTGAAATACTGTTCTGGGATTTGTGTGGAGATACTGAGGAAAACTAAAAAATATGTCAGGATTCCCCACGTCCTTTCAGAGATGTGAACAAAACACCTCCAAAGTACGAGTCTAGAGCACTACCACGACACCATCTCACTCAGACTTAATCAGTCATTTATTACTGTATGTTTTGATCTCATATCTTAGTTCTTGTTTTGGTGTTCTGGTCTTACACTTCTGATTTTATTGTTCCCATGCATACTGATTATTTTTGTATTGTAACTGAGATTGAATGTATTGTGTAGACTGAGAGAAAATCTTGCTTAGTATTTTGTGGGATGTCGATGCTGGAAGAGACAACCACGTAAAACTATAACAGATGTTTATTGCTGTTAGAATGAATATTACAGACAAGCAGAGAAGCAGAGGATGCCTGATGAATACTGGCAAGGCAGCTGGCTTGATGAGCTTTGGCAGTCGCTGGTGGAGTCCATTGCCAGCTGGCCTCACAGTCACTAGCACAGGCCGGACCACTGTGACAAGAGCTTCATCTGGCATCCCACAGGTGAGCCAATTGCAATCACCAGGCTGCCGCAAGGAAGAATGCCAACACTGCACTAGCTAGCCCGCTGTGACGAGAGCTTTGCCCGGCATCCAGCAAGTGCACCCAGCTTGGACAAACGGCCTTTTTCAGGGACAACTATATCACCACCGTCATTAGCTCAGGCTAGCCCACTATAAAGGGAGTTTCTGCCAGTATTCATTCATCAGGCATGCTCTGCTTCCCTGCTCCTCTGTATATCTTGTTAACAGCAATAAACATTTCTTATAGTTTTACGTGCTTGTCTGTCCATGCCGCCAGATTCGAAATCTCACAGTTTAATATAGTAAAAAGTGTTCCACACAAAGTATGCAGAACTCAGCATGACAAATATTTTATGTTAGATACACATTCTGCATTTAAGAACACATGCTGTATTTGTTTTAATTGTGAAATTGCATTGTTTCAAATTGAGGAAAAGAAGAAGGTAAGGAAACATTTGTAGCTCAGATTTACAGCAAAGTAAACCATTTCAGTTCTTCTGTATATCGTTCATTTTGTTTACAAATTTCTTCACTAATGAATTTTCTTACATAATTTGTTACTTTGCATGCATGTACTTTTCTTTCTTGTGCAGGGTGACGAGATATTTCAGGCCCTTTTGACAGCAGGCCTGGAGAAGAAGGTGAACATACGTATTGCCCAGAATTTCCCTTCACAGTCACAGTCTTCTCCAGATACAGAAATACTTGCAAAAACAGGCGCTGCAGAGGTACATATATTAACTGCCATTATTTTCACTGTTATGAAGTTGAAGCAAAGAGATTTTTGGAAATATTAATACATTAGGGACAGATTATAAATAAAACGAAGATGAAAAACTATAAGCAAACAGAACTGGAGCTTTGTGTTGTAAATATATGCTGTATGTGGATCATTTTCCCTGAAACTCTTTATGATGGACATGCCACTGATGTAAGTCTATGAATTTTACTCTATAACCATTCCCCTTTGTTGTAGTGCCAATTCTATAAGTGCTTCACTTTGAGAAGCTGCCCCCTTTATGATTCTCACCTTGCACTGCAACCTCCTGAACTCTTCTCAGTTGTTGCTCACTTGCTCGTTCCATTCCTTGTATGGAACAGTGGTGAATTCAGGAAGATGGGAGGAATGCTCTTTGGGCACTAGTAAGTGTACAAGTGTAGCTTACAAGTGGGATATTTTATGCTCAGTTGAGTTGTTTGGGTTATACTCAGGTGTATGTAGAAGTAAGCTCTAGTCTCAGGTCATTAACAGGTCTCACTCTGGCAGGACAGTAATCCTTCAGTAATAATCTACAGTCACCACCAAAATCAACACTAGTTGTCTCTTTAATATCTGGCAGTCATATAATATGTAATGGGCTTGAATTTCTTTTCCTGGTTTCTAGTTGTTGTGTGACTTAAGAAGTTCTTTTTGTGCCATCAGTTTCAGTTGTCCTCCATTGGAAGTTAATAAGTCTAGTAAATGTATTTAAGGTACTATGCTACAAGCCGGAAAGTCGCGTGTTCAAGTCCCGATGAGGTCATTGGATTTTTTTCAATGACATAATCCTTCCAGCTGCACTAGGCCCTGGGGTTTACTCAGCCTCTAACAGAAATGAGTACCAGGAATTAATTAAATAATTTTCCTGGGGAGTGAAGCGCAGCCAGCGCGTAAGGCTGACAACCTTACCGCCATCTTTGAGCCGATTGTCAAGGTAATGTGGGACCCTTAATGTCTCACAACCCTGTGGGCCTTCACGGCCTCTTACAGGGATAGCTTTACTTTACTTACTTTTAAATGTATTTCTCTTTCATTTAAATGGTTAATTATTAATACAGTAAAACTTGGTTATAGCAACATCGGTTTCTGCGACACCTTGTCTATTGCGTCAAATATTCAATGGTACGAACTAATTCCTCATAAAGCAACTGTTTTTATACCTTGCTTAGTACGACATGCACAAATGCATCAACCTCGTATGTAACGTCATTTTCATTCCTGAATTTCTCTGATATCGTCGGAAAGTTCGATGTGTCTGCCCACCCTCACTTTCTCTACTTGCTGACGTGACTGTCCTGGAAGAATACGACCGCGGGATGCAAGAGGAGCATGGGTTTTATGCGAAAACAAGGGTGAAGCNGTATTTCACTAAAAAATGCAACATTTTAACTCGGTTTTTGGTAGATTTTTACGTGACTAACATAAGGCTACTGTGGAAATGCCCATTTCGGTTACAACGACATTCGTTTATAACGACACTATTATTAGGTCCCTTTGATGACGTTATAGCCAAGTTCTACTGTATATGTCATATTAAACTTCACCCATAGTTATTGGTTTAACATTGGTGACATCATCCTCCATTGCTCTCTTAAATTCCTCTTTTCCTTCTTATTTCCATCCTTTTTGCAGCATATAAATTTGTATACAGTCAGTTATTCTAGCAATTTTGGTGACAGATTTTAATAATTGTGCTGTTCATTTTCATTATTATTGATTAAACCTCTCAGAGTACTACATTTGGTTGCCTTTTCTCATGCTGTTTTCTCTCCCATGTTTATAAGTTTATAATGACAACTGTTACCAACTTACAGGTTCGCAGTGTGAATTTTCCAAAACTGATGGGTGGTGGAGTCTTGCATACTAAGCTGTGGATTATTGATGAGAAGCATTTCTATGTAGGTAGTGCCAACATGGACTGGAGGTCATTAACAGAGGTGAGGAAATTCAAAGTTTAGAATTACAATGTGTTCTGCTTCTAAAATAAATCTAAACATGATTATTTTTCACTACTATAATAGGAAAATCTGGTAAGATAATTTACTATGAAAAGTGGTTAATGGAACATGTAAAAATGAAGTGATCAAACACAGTGATAAATATCATTATCTTGTTTCTTATGTGTTCTTCATTTGTTTAATAATGATTTCAGAATTATGTAGTGTCAAGTGATAGGATGACTAGTAAACAATTAATTGCAAGGAATGAGGAAGCAAGTGGTGGAGTCCTAATTGAAGGTACTATGCATGCACTTGCCTTGAGGAACTAAGGCAAAAACCACAAGAAATCTCCATGAGGGTAGCTTGTCTCCCAAATATGAAGCAGGAGTGGTGATCACTTGGTTGCAGTATTTAGTTTATATAATCTTGTTAACCTGTATTACCATGAGGGACTAAGTTTCCCATATGTCAATTGTAAATGCCATACATTAAAGGTCTAGAAAGTTAAGATGCAGATGAAATGCTATATCTAGATCAAAACAGAAATGAGATTAAACATTCGCTGGTTTTATATTGTGATGAACTGGTACTGTTATCAAAACAAATATTTACTATATACATTCTTTTGAGACACAGTATATACACTGTTCTGTTTCCTTGTAGGTGTAAACTCTGCACATTAATAATTAAGAATTGATTTTAACTGAAAGAGAATTGTTCTTATAGAGTAGTAATGGTAGTGGCAGCAGCAACTGCAGTAATAGTAGTAGTGGTGGTAGCAGCAGCAGCAGTGGTTGTGGTAGTAGCAGTATGGGTGGTGAAGGTAATAGTATTAATAGAGGTGGTGGTGTCAGCAGCAGCAGTTAGAGAAATAGTATTTTTCAGACGTTTACATATTCTGAATATTTTCAAAAAAATTTCCTTTTCCTTAATTCAAAGAAATCAGTGTATTTTGAGAAGCGGAAGTATGGAGATGTGTTCTAGTGCTATGTCAACGAGAGTTAAACAGAGTGCTGTTATCGAATTTTTAACTGCTGAAAAAGTGACTCCTACTGAGATTCATCGTTGTTTAAAGGCTGTTTATGGTGATGATGCTGTTGATAGGTCTACTGTAAATTGATGGGTAATAAAATTTCGTGGTTGCAAGCCTGGAAAAGGCATAATTGTTGATGAAACACGCAGCGGACGTCCGATCACTGCCACAGACGATAATCATCGCAAACTTGTCGATGATTTGATTCAAAATGACTGGCGAATCACTCAAAAGCATATCGCAAACCATATTGGAATATCCAAGGAACGTGTCGGCTTCATTCTTGAACAGTTGGGATACTGTAAAATCTGTGCACGATGGGTACCACGCCGTCTCACAGACGAGAACAAGCAGCGTTGATTGGAATTCTGCGAGCAACTTTTGCAGCGCTACTGTGACGAAGGAGACAACTTTCTTTTGAATATTGTGACGGGGGACGAGTGATGGGTCCATCATTATGACCCGGAAGAGAAAAGACAGAATGCTGAATATCGACATCCGTCTTCTCCTCAGGCGAAAAAGTTCGAAACACAACGATCCGCCAAAAAACTTCTTTTGACTGTGTTTTGGGATGCTCACCAAGGTTATGTGACCGATTTTCTGGAACGAGGGGCAACGGTAAATTCTTCTCAGTACATACAGACTCTAAAACACCTCCGGCGTCAAGTTTGTTGTGTTAGAGGCAGCCTGGCGCCAGTAATCTTGCAACATGACAACGCTCGTCCACACACCTCACGCGCAACTGAAGAGGCTCTGCGAAACCTGAAGTTTGAAGATTCCACACCCTCCTTATTCCCCCGATCTTGCGCCTTGCAATTTTTATTTTTTTCCTCTGCTCAAGAGACCTCAAGGGTAATCATCACACCTCAGACGATGAGGTGAAGGCAGCTGTCAAGTCCTGGATTCGAGAAAAGTCGGAAGAATTTTTCAGTGACAGAATGAAAAAACTTGTTACACGTTGGGAGAAATGTGTTAGCCTTAACGGTGACTATGTTGAAAAATAAATATATGCTTTTGAAACTTAAGAATTGTACTTTAATGTACTTTTTGCCCGATCTTGCTATTTGTTTTTGTTCGCACTCTACAAGCATGTGTGCATTACTTTTCAGCCTAGCCACGTATATACTTTAATATGTTTTTTTAGTTTCTTTAAATTTCTGAATGTGAAATGTTTTAAATATTTGGGTAGCTTGTTAACAGATGATGGAAGGTGTACGTGTGAAATTAAATGTAGAATTGCCATGGCAAAAGCTGCATTTAGCAAGAAGAATCTTTTTACCAGCAAATTGGACTTAAATTTGAGAAAGAAACTAGTGAAATGCTACATTTGGAGCATCGCTTTTTATGGGGCTGAAACTTGGACACTTAGGGCAGTAGATCAGAAACACCTGGAAAGCTTCGAAATGTGGTGTTGGAGAAGGATGGAGAAGATCAGTTGGACCGATTATGTGAGAAATTAAGAAGTGTTAATTAGAGTCAGTGAGCAGAGGAATATCCTCACGAAATAAGAAAATGGAACGCTAATTGGATTGGTCATATCTTACGCAGTAACTGCCTACTAAAAGAAGTTATTAAAGGAAAGATAGAGGGGCGGATAGAAGTGACCAGAAGACGAAGAAGAAGACGTAAGAAGATGCTGGATGACCTTGGGGACAGAAGAGGATATTCTCATTTGAAGGAGAAAGCTCTAGATCGCATTAAGTGGAGGAACTGTTTTGGAAGAGACTGTGGACCTGTCATCTTGACAGATTACAGATGAATGAATTAAATTTCTGGAAGTTGCTAAACTTGTCAATTTTATTATATTTTAAAAAATATCCACACACATGTCACTCCACATATAACTCATACACATTACTGGGATTCCAAGAGAACATGGCCTAATTTGGCTCATGTAGGTCTGCTCTATGAGTATGTAAGACTATATATTTTGATTGCATTGTAACTGTTTACAGTTGCTCACTCTTGGCCACTTCCCACTGTTACACATACACTGCTTAGATTTATTTAGATATGAGTAAGAGTTGGATATTGTTTTCTGGGCTCTAATTTGTATTGCTTCCTTGATTTTGATTTGATACTCTAAAATATTGGATCATCACTAACACAAACACTTGAACTTGCTGATATAAGCTTCATACTCACATATTTAACACAGTAACATTATGTGGGGAACAGTGAATCTCTTGAAGATCACAAATATATCTATTACGTGTAATATTCTCACATTGATATTAAAATACACATTGTTCTCATTAGTTTCTTTGTTTGAAACTAAGTTATATGCCATGATTAGATGGATTACTTAATGTGAATGTGTTCTTCATTATGCATATGGTCTTAATATGCAAACTGAAATAAGATTATTCCATTGATATGCATATGGCCTCTGTATGCATGCAGATCTTATATCTTGTGAATCTATTTGTACCAACTTCAGCATACTGAAGCACTCAGCTTGTGATACCAACCTTGTGATATACATTGTATTGACAGTTGTGGATTAACAGATGGAATATTATCAGGACAATTTTTTCTGTTGGCAGATTTTTTTTCAATTCTATCCTGTTTCATTTCTACTGCCAGGAATAGGCCATTGAGATGAAGATGCTTTGTATTGGTACTTTTGTAAAACTCCTCATATCAGAGAACCTTTATTTGAATTGTGTTTAGAGTGTATTATATCTTCTATTCAAAATTATTGTATATTTGCAAGGATTTAGCATATGCATTTATGTAATTATTGTGTGGGCTTATGTTTTTCATTTTAGTATCATATATAGAAACAGTTTCTTTTTTGTAACTGACATATAATAATCATATTTCAGGTGAAGGAGTTGGGTTTATCTGTCTATAACTGCAGCTGCCTTGCTTCTGATCTAGCCAAAATATTTGAGGTTAGTTAAATGTCCTGTTTCAGGATACAAACGTAATTGTTTTCCCTTCCACCTCTCTGGTACTGTGAACAAATAAAGGGTTACCATATTTGTGTGGTGGTAAGAATACAGCATACTTGGTTGACTAGTACCAGTGCTTCTGGAATTTTCATTCAGCTGGCAGAAATTTCAAAGAAAATGTACCAATTTATGAGAATTATTCAAAAACAAATTTGTGAGGTGTGTATGTTGGCCCACCATGTGATAATTCTCCCAGCCACCACTAACAGTGTTGCCTGTTTTCCTCCCTCATGCAAGTGCCATTACTATGGAGGCTAATAGAACTTGTGATCACATTACAATATACGTATCTGAAATCTTTCACCCATCAGTTTGGTATTTCACCTAGGAAGACACCATTGTAGGAACTAAAATGGAAACATTGTATTGGGTTTCTATAAGAAGTTTTCTCATGCAGCAGGTGGATTGATGTAACCAGCACATTTTATTCACAATACATACCAGATATCAGGGAATATTCAGTTATTCTCTTACTTTTATTTTTAACAAAATTGATCTCATATTCACATGTGAAGAAAAATGGGAAAAGAAGTTATTTGATTTCTGATAAACCAGACCTGCTCACATGCATAAAATCAAATTATATATTTTTTGGAGGTGTTAGCTTAAAGTTAGTAATTCTGCATTTGAGGTATACTGTATAGTGATATGGAAACCATCAGCTGTAATTCCACACTTCCCATGACATTGTTTCTGTTCATCTATAGAGAATGTTGCTTGTACCTGAACTCGTTAGTTGACTATCCAGGTATGTCACAGCTATCAAATGTTGCTTAGTTTGGGTGCACAGTGATCCTTTATGGTGATTGAGAACTGATTTTAGATATAATGTACAGCATTAGTGCTACCATTTATACATACTCTTGAATGGATAAGTTTACTGTTTACTGTCCAAATACAGTGTTCTTATTCTTGCCATTTATCATACATACACTCTTCTACAACATGTTTTAGACTCACACAGCTGTCCTCAGGCATAGTTACTCTTATTAAAATTGTTTTACTATCTCTTAAATTTACTCACATGCGGAACACGTTACTTTCAATAAAAATCCTCTATAATCCATGAAATGCTGGTACCTGGCGATTTCCAGCAGTGGCTATTGCCAACTGCGCATGATATCTGTGATATGTAATAATTGTACTGTCTTGCGTTAATACGGTTTTTGCATATCACAGATATCATACACAGTTGGCAATGCATGCTGCTGGCAATCGCCAGGTACCAGCATTTCATGGATTATAGAGGATTTTTATTGAAAGTAACAACACATTCCACACACGTCTAAATTGAAGTGACAGCACAACAATTTTAATGAGGGTAACTATGCCTGAGGATGGCTGTGTGAGGCCAAAACACATTGTAGAAGAGTGTACATAGAATAGAAGGCAGAATAAAAACATTGCATCTGGACAGTGAAAACCCATATCCATTGAAGATTACTAGTAATGCAACAGAATGATGAAGTACAGTATTCACCTACTCATTGCTATTCATTCTGCAAGACTTGTCTTTTTGACTAAAGTGTTCATGGTAAGTGTGCCTGTTAAACACAAATTCAATAAATAATGCAACACCCATGGAAGACCTTGTGTAAACAAAAGCAGCTTTCATTACACAGACACCTTGACCTACATACCATGGTAATTTCAAATTAAATTAATGCTTGTCAGGTAGGTCAGCATTTTTTTAGAACAGTATATGGTGGTGGATAAAGGACAAAGGATAATTTTTAGACACAGTTTGTGGCATAAATATATTCTGTGATCCTAAGATAAGCTAGTTAGTGGCCTCCATAGTCTAGGGGTAACGTTCCCACCTCATGGCTCAAGGTACGCGGGTTCAAACCTGGCAGAGGTCGTGGAATTTTTAAGGGCAGAAAAATTCAGGGAACAAGTCCTCCGGGAGGGACTTTAAGCCGTGTCGTAGATTTACGGCACGTAAAAGATCCTCATGTCTCTAGGAGATCTCTGAGCAAAATCAGGCAACACATTTCCCGCCCAAGTAGTTTCCAATGCCTCTGGTAGATGGGGGAAATATCAGGTACTGAGGGCCGACCTCATTGGCTGAACGGGGCTGATAGCATGCACCAGTACTGGTAGGGTACGGAGACAGTAGAAATTAAAGGGGGACACACAATGGACCAATAACTGGTCTAAGTGCATGGGGAAACCCACCCCCTCTAATAATAATAAGATAAGCTAGTTTGATGAGTTGGAAGAAGATGCCATCTCTTTCTTGGTTTTGCTATACTTATCTTCCTTTCGCAACTTATGTGCTATAGTCTGTGTCAGTGTTTTGTTGTTTTCCATTCTTCTTGCCTGTTGTTTCCATTGGTTAAATAATTCTTCTATATCATATAAACAAGTAAGTTTATAACTGTAATGTCAGCCACATCCCAGTTTTAAATTAAGAACATGTATTTACTAGTGTTAATCACCTTGTTAGATGATTTTTATTTTGTACGAACAATAATTATCCAAGAGGGACATAGGCCAATTCTTACTCTCAAGATGGCAACTTAGTCTGATTCTTGAATTTAAGAAAGTGGCTTGTTGCATAGCTTCAGAGAGAAACAGGAAGGACCCCTGCATTTTTTTTTCCTAGAAATTCTACTCAAAATTTGCTTATCAGAATTCCTTGAGAATACGATCTCTGACAGGTCCAGGACACCACACATCAAAAGTGGGAAGGCCCAAAACCCATGCCAAGCGGAGTATTCATCAAATGAGTGTCAAAAGTTACGTTAAGTCATTAGAGTCCAAATTCTCTTGAATTTTGGAACTGATTAGAGAATAGCAAATGAAATAAACTCCTCTTGTTCAAATTTGACCAATCATTTAAACTTAAGGAGGTAACTTGTGGGCTGATATGAAACAGTCAGTACTCCTAGTTTAAAGGAGAAGTCATTCTGTTAAGTTACTTGTATTCCAGCTCACCAATTGTTCAGACGCAAAATCTGTATCACCATAAGTTTGACTATAAATTCTGTTAAGTGAGATTGTATTAGTGATTATAATAATAGTGAGTGTAACCACCAGCTGAGTATTGATTCAGCTTGGAGTAGAATTTAGGATATCCGAAATCCATTTGAAAACTTCAGCAAGCTGTTTAAGTAATTCTATAGGCACCAGTGTGAGTCCTACATAAAGGAACCCATATAATCTAGATGACTGTGCACAAGTGATTAACAGAGCAATAAAGTGTCTCCATGAACAAGTGTTGCTTACGTAGTAGAAAGAGTTACCCCTCCCCATCCAAGCAAGACCCTGCTAAATGCCCCTGGGACTGATTTCTCATCTCTATCAACTTGAAGTAGCACATCACCACCATCATCTCCTTATCAATTCTTCCCCCTTTCTCCACCAAGATTTTAAATGAATTCCAATAAGATTACTGGCACCCAACCCTTTATTAATTACCTGACAACCAGAAGAGGAGGTGGTAAGGATGATGGGTGAGCAGAGTTTAGCAGGCTGTAGCTGCAAGCTACCAGCAGCGAGCAACAAGATGACCACACAAGTAAGTGACACCAACCAACAACAGTGGGCAATAGAGTGGTCGCAAAGAGAAGAAGTGGAGTCCAACTGGTGGGCCTCGAAAATGGTTAAAAGTTAACTGTGAGATTAGAACTCTGAAATTATACAAGTTTGGGATACCATGTCAATGAATTGTTGAGCATTAGCACATTGCCTGAATGTAAGTTATGTGGTAGGTCACAAATGAGCAAACAGTCTTGTGTTTCAATGTTTCATGTGAGTATTGATAATATTTTGGTGCAGATTTGTGAAGAGAATTACAGTATAAAGGATATGATTTACAATTGATTATGTGTGCATTTTATTCATGGGAGATGACATTTAATGTCAGCCTTGATGTAGCACTTGATAACATGTAGAACTGGAAAAGATTATAGGCGAAAGCAAGAGAAGTATGAAAGCTTATGTAATAAATTATGGGACATCCTAGTAAATTCATAATTGGTGTTACACTAGTTTTATGTACACTTTTCAGTTGATTTAATTTTTAATTATTTTGAAATGTAAATGTGAGATATGTAATAATCTTTAAGGAATTAAGTTTTCCATGGTTCTTGAATCTTTCATCTGTTAGATTCATTTACCTGTAAAACTGATGAATGCCTAAGAAGTTAGGTTTGACCGTTTAGTATATGATTGCAGGTATATTGGTTTCTTGGAAATCCAGATGCTGAGATTCCTGCAAAATGGCCTGACAGTTTAAGCACACATTTTAACATGGAAACTCCAATGACACTGGTGATGAATGCCAGTAGCAAAGCAGATGTTTATCTTGCAGTAGGTATAATTTTTATATATTTATTTACATATTTAATTTTGTAATATAATTCCATTTATTACAGTTTATTGAACTGTCACAAAGGCTTGTCCCACCCTTGTAGTTTTATGATGTCTGAGTCTGATATCTTGGGTCATGCCCTCTACAAAATCCTGTGAATGGCTCAGTAAGCACATCCGTTGCTAGGCAGTGGCTCAGTGGACATCACGTGACCATGACCACACCTACACACAAAATAGAAGAACTGCTGAAAGCGGTGTTTTCTGTGTGGTCCGCCACCACCATGGCTGCTGTAAGAAAAGGTGTTTTCCATGGGGTCTGCCTTGAAGCTATATATCTGGAGAACTAAAGTCAAGTCAAGTTGAGGTCAAGTTCAGAGAAAGGCAGTCCAAGACTGTTGCCAGCTGAGGAGTGGGAGATGGAAGCACTGCATAGCAATGTCAAGTCTAGGAGGCCAGCTGAGGTATCTATGGCTTTGGGACTGTTACCAGGTGACAACCGGTGAAGACACAGTAGACTGAGAAGATATAGTGTGTGCTGTAATGATTTGTTAAGTGCGTAGATCCGTGAAACTGGTATAGTTAATCATTACAAGTTTCAAGAATGCAATATATCCAATTACCAGTCCAGGCCCTGTATTTAGTCACTTAACCTATGACATTGTTGAGGTTGAAGGAGAGGTCATTGTCAGTATTTGTATTGCATGTTTTGTGTTATACATTCAGGGACTTTAAACTTGAAGTTTCTTTTTACATAGAGTTCGATTTGTGTGATGCTATCTCGATTCTTACTGTTCTGAATTTTGTATATTTAAGGTATTCTTCAGTTTTTAATTAGAAATGTTGTGTCATAAAGAAGGAAATGGAGGTTACACTATATTGGGCCAGTGTTTGTATAGAGGGGAAGCCCTGCAATGAAACTCCTTTCTAAGAATTGTTTTTGGGAGTTGTGGATTTGAACACCTAACCGAGGAAAATCTTATATGGAGGTACTTTAATGCAGAGAATGTCGACTAGGGACAATCAAAATTAATTGTTAAGTGAGGGAAAATGCTAAATCAAGAAAGAGTAAGTGGAGGTTCAGTTGTACATGAAGGGCAAAGTTAAATGGAAAAGTAAGAACACTTACCAGAACAAAGAAGGAGACACCACCAGATATTCCATATATATGAATGTGACCTTTTTTTTTATATATGTGTATGAAAAAGACTAACATATTTACTTCATTTCAGAGTTCCCCCCCTCCTTTCTGCCCAGAAGGTCGTTCAACAGACATTGATGCCATCATTCATGTCATCTCAACAGCTGAACATTTTATATACATATCTGTGATGGATTACTTCCCTTTGCAGATTTATACTCCTAGGCCAAGGTAATATTTATTCAAATCATCTTTAGCACTAAAAATAGGAAATTTTAAGTCTGGTAATGTAAAAGAACATTCTCATGGGCTGTGTTGGGAAATGTGTCACAAACCTTCTGAGAATCAGAAGTGTCTGTATTGTGACATGTTGCGCAACAGAGGATCCCCCCCTCCCCAGCGGTACATGGTGGCATTGTAGCACTGTTGTTACTCCCCGCGGTGACGTAACACGCAACACAGCTCTGACACGGGTAACAGGCAATAGCGGTACCCATTGCGTAACAGGCAGGTGCTGCGACTATATAAGGGAACTAGACAGCCACCGGAGTTAGTTAAAGTGTATCAGCGGCTGAAGACAGTTTTCCAGTCAGCAGTTAAGAGTTAAAGTGTACCAGTCAGCAGTGAACGAGTTAGTGTGTGAGCCAGAGCAACACAGTTGGAATCTAGCAGCAGTCGCGGAAAGAAGAACCGGACGCGTGTGATAATCAGGATAGTTTGTCATAAGTGAGTAATAATTGGGAGTGTGTGATACAGTGACAGTTGTATAGCTCGCATACTGTGAATACGTGTAGACTACTGAGGATACAGTGAATTGATTATTGTGAATAGGGTTATAAAGTGTGAAGACAGAGTGAAGAGATTATTGCGAATAGAGTTATAAATTGTGAAACCCCACAACAGTGTTGTAATTAATTGTAGCCAAGATTGGTAGGTTGTTAAATAAACCAATTAACATTCCGAACGGCATCTTCAGTAACAAAACGCGTTACACTGGTGTCAGAAGTGGTTACGAACTTACGCCCACATGACCATCAGAATTGTCTATGAACTTAAACACGCCACAAATGAATTGTGCATCGAGTATTTTACTGCTACAAAATGGAGATGCAGCAGATGATGGAAATTCTACTGAAGGAAATCAGAGACAACCAAGAAAAGACGGAGGCCACGAGACAAAAAGACAAAGATTTCATGGCAAGAATGGACGCCAACATGAAAACCCATCAAGAAGAGATGAAAACCGATAGGAAAAAAGACAGAAAAGATTTCCTGGCAAAACTAGACGTCAACCAAAAGAAAACCGACATCGTGCTGGCCAAGTTAGACGCCGACTCGGAAGCCTGGTGAGAAAAGACTGCCGCAGAAACGAGAGCCATCAAAGCAAGGATGGCCGCCATTCGAGAAAATTGGCACCAGCCACATGGAGATGGTGTACGCATTTCACCCCGAAACAGAGGAAAAGACGATAGCCTTACAAGAAATGGAGACATGTCTACTAGAAGAAGAGCCGGCCTCAGTGGACACGAAACCTGTGGCGGCACAACAAGAAAGGTCCCCAAATGAATGTCGGTTGGAGTGACGATGGCCTGCCGAGAAATGGAGGCACGTCCAGAAGAAGAATAGCCGGCCTCAATGGACATGAAACCTGAGGCGGCCTACCAACGAGCGGTACCCATAGAAGATGCCGAAGTAATGCCGGTCAGAGAACCGAAGAAGAAAAGGCGTAGGGACTGAAATCAGCGAAACATGAAGAATCCGACACGGGGAAGTTGTGGAGCCCAGAAGAAGTTGGCTGCCCCCTGCAGGAAGGTGTCCCGCCGTGCAACAGTGGCATGGTGTTGGAGGAACATCTTCAATAAATCTTGGACCCGAGGGAGTTATGAATTCCGGATGAAGTTGGCTGCCACCTACAGGAAGACATCCCGTCGCGTGACAGTGGCACAACGTTGGAGAAATGCCTTCAAGAAGGAAACTCCCCAGGGAACCTTCAGATGCTGGAGACAGGACTTGGCGCCACAGTCTCGTGCCAGCAAGTGGCGGGAAGACCAGGAGGCATGACGACGTCAGCAAGTGCAAACAACACTTCAAGTGCTGTTACTTCCGAAGACAGACATGATCAAGAATTGGACCTTGTGGAGGGGTCGACCCCTCCGAAACGAAAAAGAAGCAGAGCACAGAAGAGGAGCCGGTAACGTAGAAGTACCAACCGCCCGAGCAGGAATGAAATGATGGATGAATGGGATACAACTGGATCTTCTAGCAAGTTGAAAGGAAACTGCTTGAGACGAGCTGGTCNTTACCGTGTCTCACGGTGTTGTCGCTTGCAGATTTACCTATACTTTTTCTTCAACCCTGAAGATGGGGGCGATACGTTCCTCCGAAACGTCGGTTAACACCACATATACACGGCGCCAAATCCCAGAAGACTGCTTTCTTCTCAGTGTGACATGTTGCACAATGGAGGACCCCCCCTCCCCAGCTGTACATGGTGGCATCGTAGCGCTGTCGTTACTCCCTGCTGTGACAGTGTTGTAATTAATCATAGCCGAGATTTGTAGGTTGTTAAATAAACCAATTAACAATCTGAATGGCGTCTTCAGTGGCTAAACACGTTACAGTATATATTATCCAGTCTAAAATTTTGATGTATGGAATTCATGCACAACTGGTCATTTTCATCTTATGAGGTACATCAGTAATGGATCATGAGGGCATAAGTGGTGTGATTTTGGTGCAAGTGACATCACTCAAAAAAGATTATGATTATGTTATAATGATTTCTGGCAGAGAGAAAATGCAATTATTAATTGTTTTATTCACACCTGTGCTAAATTTATGTATGAGATCAAAAACAAACTGTGATTTTAGTCAGCAAGTGAACTATACCGACCGAGCAACTGCCGCTTGTTGGTGAAGTTTAGTCCCAACTTTTGCAGATAGAGGGCGTTGCGTGGTCAGCGCAATGAATCCCCATGGCCGTTAATTTCGGTTTTATAGACTGGAGCTGCTATTTCCTTGAAATAGCTCCTCAGTTATCATCACGAGGTTGAGTGGACCCCATTACAGACCCACTACTTGTCAGAAAAAATCTGGTAGCGCCGGGAATCGAACCCGGACCTCTGGATCTGTAGCCAGGAACGCTGACCACTAGACCACAGAGGCGGTCTCAGCTATGAGATTTGGAAGTTACAAAATTTATTATACTAAATGTAGCTCATTTACTAAATCAAAATTCACTAAATATGAGAAAATAATACAGTGACTATACTGGGGCTTCAGGGGCATGCGGTAGCATAGTTGGTTGGGGCACTATGCTACAAGCTGGAAGGTCGTGGGTTCAAGTCCCAATGAGGTCATTGGATTTTTTTTTTCCAATTGACCCACTCCTGGCCGCACTATGGCCCTGGAGTTGACTCAACCTCTAACAGAAATGAGTACCAGGAATTAATTAAATAATTTCCCTGGGGAGTAAAGCACGGCCAGCGCGTAAGGCTGTCAACCTTACCGCCATCTTTGAGCCGATTGTCTAAATAATGTGGCACCCTCAACATCTCACAACCCTATGGGCCTTCATGGCCTGTTACAGGGATAGGTAAAAGTAAAGATTTAATGATATTAGTTTAAGATAAATTTGCAAGAAACATGGCATTGTTTCACCTGTATGTTTGCAATCTGTTCCCGTTCATAGGTGAGATATATAATAACACAAGCATCCTTTCGGAAAGTACTTTGTGAAATGTAACTAATGTTTAGTTGGGTGCCAACCAGGTCATGTAAGTGTGTAGAAGAATATGATATTGTCATGCGTTGGGTAGGTCACGCGACAAATAACTTCACGCCATCTTGGATTAAGCGAATTTATTCCACTCGCTCTCACAATTACACAATTTACAGTTTCACATGTACTGCCATCTGCAGTATCACAGTTATTTCTCCATTCACTCCGGCGAATGCTAGACTGCAACTGACTGGTCTCTCTCTCTCTAGTAACTGGCTCAATACTCACTACTCACTACTATAGTAGCTTCTGCGCTGACAACACAGAAAACAGTTATGCGATAGCTACCACTGTTGCATAATTTTGTGTTTACAGGCGTTGCTGGGGAATGCTGCCGAGAGTTGTTTATTGCCGCATAGTAACCGCAGTGTCCCTTGTTATGTCACTGTGGGAAGTGCTGTTGTCACCGCGGGAGGGGACAGTTTTTGCTGAGCGTTGCGTAATAATGGAAGGGGTGGGGATATGTGATGTCACTCGTGAGACCGCAGAGTTCACGTGACCCCTATTATTATTATTATTTGTAAAGGGGGTGGGTTTCCCCATGCACTGCGACTAATAGTCTATTGTATGTCCTCCTTTCATATCCTACCAGTCGCCATGCCCTGCCAGTACTGGTGCTTGCTATCAGTCCCGTCCTGCCAGCGAGGTCGGCCACCTCTCTGGCAGTGGTACCCAATACTTCCCCATCTACCAGAGGAATTGGTAACTACTTGTGCGGGAAACTTTGCCTAATTTTGCTCAGAGGTCTCCTAGAGACATGAGGATCTTTTACGTGCCGTAAATCTACAACACGGGACCCACGGCTTAAAGTCCCTCCCGGAGGACTTGTTCCCTGAATTTTTCCGCCCTTAAAAATTCCACAACCTCCGCCGGGTTTGAACCCACGTGCCTTGAGTCATGAGGTGGGAACGTTACCCCTAGACTATGGAGGCCGCTTTCACGTGACCCCTACTTCCTATTGTGCCGTCCACGTCACAGTATATTAGGAAAGGGAGATGTTCCTGGGAAATAAGTTAGGAGAAGAGTCACTCAGGGCTTCAGATATGGCATTTGTGAATTGGTAAAGTTTGGGAAATACTGGGCTTAAGCATATGTGACTTTGTAAACGTGGTAAGTTAATGAAGTGATAAGCAGCCTGACATCGGTAAATACTCCTACCCTTTATTTTGGATGGAACAGTCTTATGCAACAGGTATGCAAATATAAGTGACAGATCATTCATTTTCACATTAATTTAATGATATGATAGATTCAGGATTTAAACAAAATGTTCTTTATTGCAACTTTAGAATGTGGTAGTCATCAAGTATATAAGGCTGTCCTTACTATCATTGGACTTCATATTTGCTGCTGAACACTCAATATATGTAGTACAATCATAAATTTTAATTTGTGTTCAAAGGATTTACAGTAACATTATGGTTTGAGTAACTGAGCAAATTGGAAAATAGTAAGAAAGTTTTGAAAATTGGAAAAATATTTTTCTCACGTTTTAGCAAGCAGTATCCTACCAGTAGATGATAATTAAGTGATTTTCAGGGTTGAGTGAAGCATAGAGAGTTGATATTTCAAGGTTTAGGTTCTTTTTATTACTCCTCTACTTTTCCCCTCCATTACCATGGATAATTGAGAGTTCATTGTAGTGTATCTTAAGGAATGCCACTTTTATTAAGTTCTTATTCATCATAAATGAATATTAACAACAATGCAGCTACAAGAACATATATAGACTTGAAAGGATTCTGACGATGGTGTATACTGTTCTTCTTTTGGCTTATTTTGGACTTCACCCATCGTCTGGTATATAAAAGACAAAAAAAAAAACCACGACGTTTCAGAGACTGGATCTGTATCCATCTTCAGGTGGATAGGGAAGGATAAACCTACTCAGTTGGGCCCCTTAGAAAGAGCTAGTCTCCGAAACGTCGTGGTTTTTGTTGTCTTTTATATACCAGACGATGGGTGAAGTCCAAAATAAGCCAAAAGAAGTACAAGAACATATATGTTTCTTATATGACAGTAAGTAGTGACTTATCTCATATGATACATTGTATGATATTTGGTATAAAAGTCCCAGTATGATAAACATGAAAACTTATAAACACTCATAAGAACTAGAAGTCAGCATAAACAGTATGTGTTGGTTCCAGCCCAGGATAATAAATTTACCAACATTCATATACCTCTGTAAAAGCATGTCATGTCGTCATACTTTACAAGTATAGTAGACAGCCTTCAGAAGATGTCAAATTGATGTAATGTGTCTCTCTCTGAAATATCCATCAAGTTCTTCCCATTACTATTGATTACATTAATAGCATTCATAAATTACAGATACTGGCCAAAAATAGATGATGCTCTGCGTTCAGCTGCTATTGACCGCCATGTTAAAGTTCGTCTGTTGATTAGTAATTGGAATCATACTCGCAAAGCAGCACAGTACTTCCTTCGATCACTTATTGATATTAATGGAGCATACCGTGGAGTTGTAGTAGAAGTGGTAAGTAAATGTTATGTTATGAACTAACTGCAAGTTGAGATGGTTCATATTTGAACCGCATAGGCAGAATAGCTACTAGTAAATAATTCTGTTGCTGTTACTGATTTAAATATAAGCTTGCCACTTGTACACTATCCCCCATGACAACTTAGTGTATTTAAGTTTCCATTGTTGATGACGGTCTTTACCCATATAGGTATGTGATTCATAATGTAAATAAGACAGCTGGTTGGTTTTTGCTTTACAGAAATGGTTCAGAGTGCCCAGTACTCCAGAGCAAGCAAAAATCCCATTTGCTCGAGTAAACCACAACAAATATATGGTTACTGACAATGCTGCTTATATTGGTAAGAAAAGTGACCGAAAGTAATTCATAAATTCATTGAAAACTAACTGGAATTAGTGTCAGTTAATTTTTTACAGTCTCACATGCAACACTAATGTTCTGCAAAATTTATTAAAAGATACACACTTTAAAAGTTTTTCACTACATGTTTTGACCAAGTGGTCATCATCAGGTGTTAAAATTAGTGGACGGGGAAACTGCTGTCTTCTGTTTCTTTGCTTAGTTTGTTAGTATATATAAGTCCCATCAGTACGCATGTGTCTGTAACATGTATAAAATTCTTGTATTAGAATTCGTGTACGCAAAGTTTTATGTGTTGTGTAATTACTTACTTGTGTACTTACTCAAGGTGGTGGATTGTTGTGTGTTGTGCTGCTTGTCTTGTTTTCAAATGCCTGCTGAGTGATGTGTTTATATCGCTATGTGGTGTTTAATTCTTCCATTACCTCGAATATCGGGTTATAGGTGTCAATGTATGTAGGTAAGTTAAAAAGTAAGTTACAAATGGATATAGAACTTAAACAAATAAGAGTACTGATCTGAAAAATGCTTTTATTTCTCACCATAATCTCCCTGTACATTGAGGCACTTGTCCCATCATTTCACAAGCCCCTGAAAACCAGCAGCATTAAATTCTTTGGGCTGCTGTCAGAACCAGGCGGTGACTTCCCTTTCTACAGCTTTCTACAGAATTACTTTCCTGGAGGATGGTGTCACCTTAAACTTTTTTTGGCAGGCGATGCAGGATGTTTCCACTGCATTGATGCATGCTTTGTCCTGGGCTGGTAATGGTCAACCCAAGACTCGTCACCTGTGACAATTCGGGCTAGCATATTGTGTCCTTCGTCGTGGTAGCGATTGAGATGCTGTAATACCAGACCCATTCTTTGCATTTTGTGTTGTGAGGTCAGCATGCACGGCACCCATCATGCAAAGACTTTGTGAAAACCTAACCTGTCATGCATTATGAGATAGGCGCCATGCCATGTGAACATGCCTGGTTCCGACAGCGGCCCAAAGAATTTTATGCTGCTGGTTTTCAGGGGCTTGTGAAACGATGGGACAAGTGCCTCAATGTACAGGGAGATTATGTTGAGAAATAAAAGCATTTTTCAAATCAGCACTCTTATTTGTTTAAGTTCTATATCCATTTGTAACTTACTTATTGACTTACTCTCGTATGTGTCATTCATGTGTGATGTATCTTCACTCAATTTATATATATGGTATTTTTCTAGTGTGTTTAGACGTTTTCCTTAATCTCTATTTTTTATTTTTATTCTGTTCAGAAAACAGCCATCTAATACAAATAATTTAATCAGTAAATTCATCATGCATGTTTCAGCAACTAGGCCATATTTAGGAGTGTCCATGCAAATTATTAAAAAGAACAGCGGTATACAGTTACATAACCAATTTTATAAACCAGAGTTACATATCTCAATCAAAACATTAAAATACAATATAGTAATTTATGATTTGATTGCAGATATTAGAGTAGACGGTTTTTCTGTAGTGTCCATCCTTCAGTTGTTTGTATTCTGTAGGTGTTAAAAGGTTTTCTATTATTATTGTATTGTATCTGTAATTGGACTATACTGATGCATGAACTAAGACTAATTCACAAATTCTTTTAGACAGACCTTTATCATTAAGGTTTCCTTGTAAGCGTAATTAAATTTATTTTCTGTTACAGGAACTTCAAATTGGTCTGGAGACTATTTTATCGATACTGCAGGTGTTGGTATTGTGGTACGTGCTGCTCACTCCAGCAATGACACTTCCACTAATCCTCTTTGTGATCAATTACAACAGGTATTTGAGAGGGACTGGAACTCGAGCTATGTATCCCCCTTGTTATAGCGATTGGTTTATTAAGGAGTCATGTGTTCCCACAGGGCTTTTTAACCTTCATTGTTCAGGGATATGATATTTAAGTCTTCTGCTACGGTGGTTCTGGTGGCTGGATTTAAATGTGAGGTTAATAATTTTTGTATTGGAAACAATTCAGTGGTAAACCTGCTGGTCTTATGCATGTATTGTCACAGTACAGTGCCGTGCATGGATGATAAAGGTTAAGCAAAGTGAGACTGGCATATTCTCCAACTGGTAAAGCCATGTAGGTATTATAAACTTCCACAGACTGATATCAGATCTCCCTGAAATCTGTGAGGCATCTTATTTTGTTATTCTATTTGCATATTTATGTGTACTTAACCCATGACTGTGCACTGAGATCTTGTGTTAAGTTATAGTGTTGGCTGCGCCATAGCTCAAGCGGTTAGTCGCTGGCTTCCCACCTTGGCGACCCAGGTCTGGTCAAGTGGGATTTGTGGTGGACAAAGTGGCGCTGGGGCGGGTTTTCTCCGAGTACTTCGGTTTCCCCTGCCAATCTTCATTCCGCCAAATTCTCCATCATCATAATCACCCGGGGGCAGGTACAATAGGCGAATCAGTGGCCACCGTGCCGAGTGGACCCATTTGGACTCCACCCCCCACTAAGTGAATATAAAAAGAAAGTTATAGTGTTCAGACATCCAATCATCTTGTGACTAGAATGCAATCTTCCCATCTTGTAAACTGAGGATGGATTACCACAGGGCAGATTTCCTTAAGCTATTGTGTTTCTCCAGATATTTGTTCATTCATTTTATCTTTTATTTTGTCTCTCAATCTCTCGGTTTTTTGCTTCTTCTTTTGGTCAGAACTTGGGAGTGTATAATTCAGCAAATTAATATGGACATAACCTTCAGTGCTGTTGTATCTGCTGAGTGTCAGTTTCAGTATTATTCTTTATAGAGGCCCTTTTACACAGTTAAAACTACTGTTTATGAGTAATTTGCAAATAACCTCTAGTATGGCAGAATAAGTTACTTTTTAAAATGGTAGTTTCACTGTCATTTTTTAAATGCATAAAAATGGGATATGTAAATTGTGAGTCTTCTCAAGATCCAGTATAGGGTATAATGTCTGCATAACATCCAGACTCTGATCATATCGTAATTTAAGACTTGTCACGATTCAACATCTAAAGAATTGGTGTTACCAAAAAGTTTTAGGGACATCAGGGCATTGCACCAAAGCTTTGAATAACGTCATATTCAAATTTGAGTACATGAGGAGAAAGATAAAACTTTATTGGCAGGTTTCTGTGTTAATTCTCTAGAGGAATATCTGCATTTTAAGCACAAACATTGCAAGACTATAATAAGGAATTATGTTTCAGTAGTTGAATTTCATGGGTTTGTTAGTTAAAATAGACATTCTGTGATTTTAGAACAAAAATTTGATTTTTAAGGAAACTGAACAATGAATAATTGTTATTTTTTCTTTCATGGAGATTTCATCTTGGATTTTCTTTGTGAATCCTGATGTAGAGTATAGCATCAAGATTTAATGAAACTTAGCATATGTTAGGAAATCCCATTTTTTGTTGCTGTATGTGAGTTTTCTTTACTATTTGTGGGACAAGGAACTTGTAACAGTTAAGTGATCTCAGCATGAAATTATATCTGGGGCTCTATTTTATTGCACATACAAATGAAATAATAATGCATAAATTAATATTTTACTTATAATTATTGTGAATTCAGTACTGAATGATATTTCAAAATTTTATGTTGCATATTATTGAAGTATAGCTACATGTTTATTTAGTATTTTTATTTATATTTTTATTTATTCATTCTAATGTCTCATCTGGAAAATATATAAGGTAACTGAAAATATTCTTTAGCTGTAAAAATTCCTGTACACATATATCTATATATTACTGTGTTCAGATGAAATACAGCAGAACTTCGTTACTCTGGATGATGCCATGAGTCTGTTAGATATTTATGAATGTTTTAGACGAATTTTCCGCCTTCATTTTCAGGGGAGAAGAGTCCCTTCTTCCTGAAGTTGGGAGCATCAGGTTCCTCTAAAACATTTGTAGCTATGTGTCACATTCCAGAAGACAGCAATCATCATGAAAACTATGTTAACATGTAGAAGTTATTCAGAAATCTTAACGACCATTACAGTATCTTAATACATGACAAAGCTGATCCCAGTGTTGTCTGATGCTATATATCAGTGTTTCTCAACCGCCGGGCCACGACCCGGTACTGGGCCCTGGCATCAATTATATCAGACCCTTGTCTTACAGAAAAAAGAATTTACTGGGTTGCGGTCTGACAAAGTTTGAGAACCACTGCTGTATATGATTTCATTTGCGAAGTTTTATACAGATGGGGGTGATAATAGCATAGTTCCCCACAAAGAGCTTTAGCTGGTAGTCTGTTATTGCTGTGAGCATGTGTGTTAAGATAGTACTGAATGAATGAGGTTTTACTTCTTAAGTTTGAACACAGCTGTCATAATATGAGCATATATTATTATAATTTTGACTTTTTACATTAACTGTACGAGAGAAACAGATCACTTATATGGATTTTGGTTATATAGTTTTAAAGAGAAAAGGCATAACATTGTTGTCTTATAAGAAATTTTAGACCATAATAATCATGATGATGATGATGATGGTATGTGAATTTATATATAAGTATGTAGTGTACATTTTCATAGTGATGTTAAAACCATGTTTTTACATCTTCTCAAAGTGTCACTTATTCAGTCTGGAGCATGAGTAGTTTGTTAAGGGTAGAGTCCTTGCAAGACATTGGTAAGTGATAGTTACATAGCCTCACTTTTGAATACACAAGAATGCTGGTTACAAATTCTGATAATAATATGGTACTGTACTGTTATTCATTATATGACTCATTTTAAAGTTTTTTTAATGTGATCATCATTCTACTATGTTCTTACTGGGACTGTACCATTCAGCCTGAACCATTCTATGCCTTAAAACAAAAATATTGCTTTTAAATAAGTTGCCTTTATGATGTATTAAATCAGCTGTATAGAACAACTCTCTGCCTTAGTCCATGATTTTTCCAGTGGATGTACAGATCACAATAAACATGTGACAAGTACAAACCAGCAAAATATATTAAACACTTTGATGCAGGTATGTTGCCAAATAGGTTCAGATTGTCATCATCCGTATGACATTACATATAAAGTTTTGGTCAGAAAATCTGAAGAGAAGGGACCACTTGGAATACCTAGGCATTGATGGGAGGACTATTAAAATGGATCTTAAAAATATATGTCAAGAGGATAAGGGCTGGATTCAGTTAGCTCATGACAGGGACCAGAGGCAGTTCTTGTGGACACAGCAGTGAACCTTCATGTTCCATAAAAGGTGGACATTTCTTAAAAAGCCAAATGAATATGAGCTTCTTAAGAAGGGTACTGCTGCATTGAGATATTTGGCTTCCCTGTGATTGAAATACATGAATAGTCATCCTTTCTACATTTTACTGAATAAAGAACGTAACTGAAGACTAAATAATATAAAGGATCAAAGACATATACAGGGGCAAAATATGAATTTCTGTCCACGAAACTCTTGCATCAGGAGACTGAGAAGTGAATGAACAAGTGTGTATTGAGTGTATGCAACGTGCCATAGCTCAAGCGGTTAGTCGCTGGCTTCCCATCGCGGCGGCCCAGGTTCAATCTCTGGTCTGGTAAAGTGGGATTTGTGGTGGACAAAGTGGCGCTGGGGCAGGTTTCCTCCGAGTACTTCGGTTTCCCCTGCCAATCTTCATTCCACCAATTGCTCCACAATCACCCTCACCTATCATCTGGGGCTGGTACAATAGGCCAGAAGTGGCCACAGTACAAGGGACTTAGTCCCACCCCACTAGTAAAAATAAAATTGAGTGTACGCATACACAAAACTACCATGTGTTCAGATATTTCAAATTAAGTAATGTTTTGGGTGAGAAGAAATTAGTGTGACATGTACCTTCAGGAAGATATATGCAGTAGTCATGTGAATTCCAAATGAAAGTACAAGCACAGTTCACAGGGAACTTCAGCATTGTTATTCAAAATAATCAGTATTACTAACAATATTTCTTCATTATATGCTGTATAGATTTTGAAATTATACTGACTCAGTGGTGAGGAGCTCGGGTGGCATAGTTGGCATAGTGACTGGCTACAGGCTGGACTACTGAGAAGTTGGGAGTTTGTCCCAGTAGGGTCAAGAATTTTCTCCTCTACAAATTGTTTAAACTGGCCCTGGGGTCCACCCAACCTCCTATCCAATGGGTACTGGGATTAAAAGCGGCCGGGGCATGAAGCTGACTGCTCACCTCCAGCTAGTGCCGAGTTCAAGAAAATGTGGATCTATACATCCACTCCCCCATTTGCCTTCATGGTGTAGTGCTTACTTCGTTGAGCACAGGGATAACTTTACTTTTTTACCTTTACTGACTCAGTGGTATAGTGACTGGTTATAGGCTGGAGAACAAGGGTTCATTTGCTGGTAGGACCAGGGATTTCTTTCTCAATGACAATGTTCAGACTGGACCTGGAGCCCACCGTGCCTCCTGCCAAATGTGTAACATGGTCTCTTTTCCTGGGGAACTGCTGGATCATGAAGCTGACCATTTACCTCCAGCTACTGATGAATTTTAGAATAATGTGCGGAATTTGTGCGCCTATCTTCATAGTGTGGTGCTTAAATTGCCTTTGTTATTTGTGGGTCTCATTATTTTCGGCTGGCTGTCCGATTGGCCCTGCATTACATTATTGTGTCCTTAGAACTGTCCTTAATTTAGAGCCAGTCTATAATATTTACAGCACTGTAATTCCCCCCCCCCATCCTACTGTTTCAAACATTTCTGTCATGCCTTCCTGTTGTGAGATACTTATATACACTGTATTAATCCTAGCAGGGATATTACTGCCATGAATGATCAATTTTCAATCACGTCTAGTTTAACTAATCTTGTGATGTTTCTGTAGATATATCATTTCTACTGTTTATATATGTTTTCTGGGCTCTGAGATAGGGGCTTATGAATGAATTACAGTGAAGTTGGAGGTAAGTATCTGTAGATGGTGGAAGTGATGGTGAGAGGAGGAATGGGAGTTAGGGGGAAGACCAACAATCATAACAAGTTTTCAACACACTGCCCAATGACAGTTTGTAACATGTTTTGTGTTTGGGTGGGGGTTCAGTGTGGGAATATAGACCACCAGTCAGAAGCATGAAGAGAAATTAAGTGTTCTCAAGTGTGTGGGTTAAGGGGAATTGAGAGTGATGGGGTGTTACCACCACCGAACTGCTTAATCCCCTTACATTGTGTGCAGGAGTGAAATGCCTATATTATTAATCTCAACAGAGAATAATATCTCCTTGTGTAATAGCAGAGATTTTCAGAACAAAAGATTTTGAACAGGTTCTCATATGGCAGTGACTTGAATGGAATAATCACATCTGGCAGTGAAAGTGAGCTTGATGAAGGCAGTATCAGCAGATGATGATAGTAAACTGAACAGAAGCCAAGATTTTAAAAATTTGTTTTAAACCATAACATCCTTGGAATTGAGTGATATTTATCCTTTAACTGGAGTCCTCAGTAAACTAAGGATATAAAACGTCCCCATGTCAACAGAGATTCCACTCCAGTTACCATGTTTCTACTCTTCATCATTAATGTTACCAACTTTTTACAGCAGAGACTAATTACTGCTAGAAGTACAACCAATATTTAAACAAATTTTACAGGGATGACAGATGTTGGCAATTTCCTGACATGAATGCATGATTTCTTGACTCTAATGATAGAAATGGGACATAATGTCAGGGGCACACTGTAAGATTACAGGTCCACCTTGAATATGTCTATATTTAATTTTACCGTAGTGTGATGAAATGTGCCAGTTTCATCGTACATTGAGATTTCTATGTTAATCAGTGGACAATGAGCCAACCAGACAAGAGTGACAAGAACTGTGATTGACAGACTGAAAACATAGATCTGTGTTTGATAACCTGAAAAACACTTGTGCTAAATATTAAAGAGGGAGATTTATTTTCAAGCAACCCTTTCATAAGACACCAATGCCATGGTATAAAGATTTACAACTTGTGCAACAAGAGTGGATAACTAACGATATGAGCATATACTCAGATATGGATAGGCAGAATGCTTCACATGCAACAGCCACAAGTTTCACCAGGGGAGTACTTATTCCATTTTGTGATATACTGTATCAGTTCAAGATTTGTTACTGAATAGCTATGTCATTTTATCATTTTANCCACATCCCAGAAGACTGCTTTCTTTATATACAGCTGCTTCATTTCATAGCTATTCCAATTTTTGATAAGACTCTCCTTAACTCATAAAGCATAATTTTTCAGTAATGAGTAACTATTCAAGAATGTTGAATATTTATAATCTGTGAACATTTGATAATTGTATTTGTAAGTAAAAAAAGAATTACAATAAATTTTGAGACAAACACACTTTTTATTGATTTATAAATGCACACCCATCATGTGACTATTGTAATGTGATAACATGATGAATGTAAATAGTTATAAAATCTAATAAAGTTTTATATGGTATCAACTTCAAAGCCTGTATTACTCACTTACTATTCATTCTGACTTACTTGAAGACACCACTTCAGTTTTATCCCAACTTCAGTTGCCTCTCAATATCCTTAACATAAACCTCTGGTACTTTGTGGGCCCTAGAAGAAAAATCATTGTGATATTGTTACTGGGTTGAAGAAGAACAACATAAAGTGGAGTATTGTGGCATGTATGACTATTGCTAGGCAGCTACCATGAAATAAGCAGCTATACAGCTGTTGCTAGGTAATGGCTGCAACAGATGTGCATGCAACAATAGAGGAGCTGTTGGAGGCGATGTTTTTGTGCAGCCTGTTCCATGGCTATATAATGAGAAGCAGCTACAGCTGTGAGAGTCTTAAGATGGTCAGTTAGAAGAGTAATTGTTAGTTATGGGATAGTTGCCACCCGGTAAGTAGAGGACATTGTTGGATCTGTCACCAGGCACGGACTGGTGAACACAACAGACTGAGATGAATTCAGTTCGTGCTGTAGTGAATTGCAGAGTGAGAATTAACAATATCACTATAGTCACTTGTAGTGATGAGTTGCGTGTATAAGTGTGCAATAAATTGTATAGTCACAGTCGTGTGATAAATGGTATCAGAATTTGGATTGGATTGATTAATTGAATGGATTGAATTTCTGGACCAAAGATTGCAGTAGATAGTTGTATCATCATATTACAAAAATGGAATGAATGATGGAGCAAATACTGGAATGCCTTTTGCCTGGCCAAGAACAAATGATGGCCAAAATGAAGGCTGAGATGGAAACCAAAGAAGTGACAGCAAGACTGGAAGTGAAGACTGAAGCCAAGATGGACCTTCATCACAGAAGTTTTGAGGTCCTTGGTACTCTTGTCTCCTGGATAGATATCCACCAAGCTAGGACAGTCTACTCAAGAAGAAATTAAAGCTAAGATGGACAAACATCAAGAGAAGATGGGGCCACAATACACTCCATTCAGTCTGGTTTAGAGGAGACCATCACACACAAGGTGGAAGACATCCTGTCATATGTTGACCAAAAGACGCAGGGCTTCTGCAAGGAACTAACCGAGAAGATTGACAAAACACAGGTGCACTTACAGACCATAAAGACATCTGTCGATATGCGACAAAGGTCTTCCTGGAAACCACAATGGACACAATGGAATATCTCGACCTCATGATATAGGGTGAGGCACAAATGACAAAGACTATGATAGATACTACGCAGCGAGGTCTTGAGGCTAAGATAGTTGAAGTCAAGGCCCATGCCAAGAGCAGAAGAGGAACAGGGACCAGTGCAGGCACAGCAAAGACACCAAATTTCGATGGGACAACATCATGGGCCATATTCTGGCACCAGTTCGAGACTTTAGCAAAGCATAACTGCTGGGCCACCAATGTACTACATGAAGACCCAAAAGGTGCAACATATGAAGAAACCCTTGAGGCCCTGGAGGACCGCTTTGGGGACCAGCATCTGGTCACTGCATATCACAGTCATCTAGAAGCCAGGAACCAGGGTGTCAGTGAAACCTTGCAAGACTTTACCATAGCCATCAAACAAATGGCCTACCGCACCTACCCTGCCCTACCTGAGGACCATATAAGGAGTGAGGCAGGCAAGGCATTCACCAGGGGGGTAGAAGACCCACCATAAAAATTCAGCTGCTGCTGGGAAGAGAGAAAAGGGTGAACTAGGCTGTCAGGCAGGCCCTTGAACTGCAGGTCATGCTCCTAGCAGCCAAGCCTCCAAAAAACGAGTGCCAGTACATTCTGGAGAAGCCAATTGCCCTCCACTGGGTGAAGGGACCAAGGCAATCAGCATGCTGGAACACCCAATGGGCTGTATTTTCATTTGTTACATTTATATTCCTGTTAGTTTTATTTTTTGTCTATTATTTAATTTTTATTGGCATTTCATAGTATAGTGATGTTTTAATCACGAATCAATCAGTTTCTCTACCTTAATTCTTCAACCTTCTTCTTCATCGCCTCTTTAATATATCTCTCTCTTCTCACTTCTTCCATTTTAAGTGCAAGTCCTTCTTCATACTTGCTCTGCTTTTCTTTGATTCTTTCATGTTCCTTCTCATTTATCTGCTTCATGATATCAGAATGATACTGCTTTAATATCTGTAAACAAACAGAATATTAATAAAACAGGGAATCCATATAGCTATAGCTTTAAAATGTAGCTAATTCCCTTCATTATTAGGAATTATGTTAGTTTTCTCTGGGTTCTGCTAATAATGAGAATAACATCTCAGGGTGCATGAGTGTCAAGTCCATGATAGCACTTCTAAATTGGGGACTGCTGGCAATTGGACATACACAGATATTCAGATGCAAGGGAATTTTGAAGAGTTATAACAGTGCCTTGCTGCTATTAGTTAATAAAAATTAGCATCACCCAAAATACATCATTTAAAATTTTATACAGTGTACAATTTACAAGAACTGCTCATTTCTGAGAATGTCATAAGAACACTACAGAAAATTATTCATGATATCGAACTATAGATAAAATTTCTTGTAGCCAAATATTGTAATATCAGATTGTACATACACACTGTTTTCTGTGATCATCTAGTTTCTGTTTCTCAGCTGCCTTTTTCTGAACCTTCAAGACTTCTTCAAATGCCTGTTTTTCACGAGCAATCTCCAGTGCTTCCATGCGTCTCCGGTCAAGTATCTGTAAACAAGAACTTCTCGAATAACAGTACATTAAGAACTTATATTTACAGTGAGGTTTTGCATTAGAGTTGACAAGCATATGGAAGACTGAAGTTTTCATTCTCAATTTCTGACCAGCAGACAGAAGTAACTTTGGCAGACCAGCAAATTAGCTGACTCCATGTAGCACAAAATTTCTTGAGAAGCTAACAGTCCCTCACCTACTCAAAAAACTTCCTGCCCTTTACAGAACCTACGTTCAAAACAGCCCACCCCATGACCCTGTCTCAAGTCAGATGATTCAAGAACACAACCTCCCACCATTTCTAAGGAGCCATTTTAATATTATCCTCCTGTCTACCACTGAATCTTCCAAGTGGCCTCCTCCCTTCAATTTCTTACATTCTCTCCCATCTCATCTTCCTTCATTTGAGCATATTAATAATTTCTTGTGAAGAGTACTATTATGAAGCTCTTTATTATGCAGTCTTTTTCTTTTTCAAATGCTTAATGTTATTATTACCAGTATAACAAATATCTGCACTACTATTATGTAGTGTTGCCACTGCTGTCTCTGTTCATTGCATTTATTTCCAGCAGATATAGTCGTGAAAACCTGTTGCAACTGAATTAGCAGCCAAGAATCTGATATGTGTGAAAGCCAGAAGGAAAGAGACCATTAGGAAGACCAAGATGTAGGTGGGTGGAAGGTGTTAAAAATGGATCTTAGAGAGAGAGGATGGGGATATGGACTGGATCAATCTGGCTCAGGATAGGGACCAGTGGAGGGTTCTTGTGAACACAGAAATAAATCTTAGGGTTCCGTAAACTTCTGGGAAGTTCTTGAGTAGCTGCATAATTAACGACTTCTCAACAAGGGCTTAGCTTCATGAAGTTAGTTAATTAGAAAAGACATAAATTATGCACCTGATTTTAAAAATTTTAGAAAAAAGGTGAGTGTGGTCTATGGATAAATATAATATTGTATTAACCTTTAAGAGCCGGCATTTAAACCCCCCACGACTGCGCTGCTGCCGGAGTTAATTTGACGGTGCCCTTTTAATATTGTAGACTTTCAGAAAAAACTACATATTTTCCGTTCTCTGCAGCTTAGAAATACGAACTAAAAACCGCCTGAAAGAGAATGAAATTTCCTACAATATACATATGGCAATTTTTACAAATAAAAATTAAGTGTGACTGTTATGTCATGAAATTCAAAATATACTCTCTATTATATGTGTAATGAAATTCCAAAAGACTTACCCATAATTTTTTCTTCAAATTTGAGACGTCGTTATATCCAAAATACATTGACACTATACACCAAAATGTTTGGTCAGACTGTACACGAGTTTCAACTCGTTGCGTCATGTAAGTTTACTCTACTATAGATACTGCGTGCGGGAGCGCGGGAAGGCAGAGGTTGCTTCAGCGCGTTGTGAAGGTCACACAGACCTCACTTGTCATACGCTGGTAGACAATCTGGTTCAGTCTTTCGCTTAGCGAACAAACAGGAAGTTATTGTTTGTATCTGGCTGGCCGGACAGTGTTGTCAATGTTCAGTTCCAGATGACTCAATGAAAAATCTTGGCTTCCCCAGAGAAACAGTCCGCCACTGACTCACAAGCTGATAATTCAGACACTCACTAAACACGTCACACTTCCTTGAGAGCTACAGAAGCAGTGATCTGCCCGCACAGAGGAATGTTGGGTCAGCTTTTCTGTGAAGAAGCTTCCACTCTGTTTGCCTGACCAAGTCACAAACAGTCTTACCTACATGTAAACGAAATCGAACCCAGTGCCATGATGAAGGGTTTTATTGTTCAGAGCCAACAACTGGACCTCTGACTTGAACTTGCTTGTGTTTGTTTTGGTTTCAAACTCAACGTCTAACCGTCAGCACTTCTAAAGTGAGCACGTGTCTTGCGTCCAGTATACTGGACTTTCGGCATCTTCGAGGTCACAGGTACCGTCCGGTATACCGGACTTTCGGTCGTTAAAGGTTAATACTATTCTCATTACTACTAGTATATGTTTATTATTATTATTATTATTGGAATTACTTAGCATTAATTAACATTCCTGCTTTTTATTCACAAGCTTCTGAGTTTAAATCTCAGCCCAGAGATCAGCTAATCCTACTCCAATTTTCTGGTATCCTTATCTCCCCTCAGGCAAGCTCTTCAGCTGATCATCCTGTTATTCTGTGCTATATAGAGAGTGTAATTGATACAGTATGTATAAGTTTTCAGGTCGTCACAACAACTAAGGGCAATGAAATCATCTCAGGCAATTAGCTGCACTAATATGGAGCAGAGATCTGATGTCTCAGAGATTGTCTGTGTCTTCATTTTTGAGGAAATTTCTCTCCACAGAAGCACAAACAATTGCGTGAAAAGAGTTTAATGTCAAATTACTGTCAGATAAGCAAAGAAAATAAAGTTTGTACAATAGGTGAAAATTCACTTACCTTGTCTGCTAAATTGAACCATCCATATTCAGAAATAAAATTAAGGAAATATTCAAACTGCAATAACATTTGAATTTGTGTTATTCACCAACCTGTTCTTCTCGAGCTTTTTTCATAGCAATATCATCATCTTTCTTCTTGCGCATTGCTGCCCTCTCCTTATTTCTGAACTCACGCTCAACTTCTTCTTGGATTCTCAGGGAATGGATTTCATCCATCTCTGCCTACAAACACCATAATCATAATATGAAGGGAAGTGTGATTTGACAGCTGACTTTATATTCACTTCTTTCTGAAAACATTCTGAAAAAGTATTTGTGAACATAATCCCATACAGCAGTTAGTGGTTACAATTAAAATATAATTATTGCAAGCAGTATATGTGGGAATTGACACTATGTATTTAGTAGAAATTTGCCAGTGTTTCAGAGAAACATACTGCCTCCATCTTCAGGGTCAAAGTATAAGCTAAGCAAGCAGTGAGTATTGTCTGCTGCTTATTACTTGTTGCTTTCTTGGCTCACTCTTTGACCCTGAAAATGGAGGCAGTGTGTTCCTCTGAAATAACAGTAAGCTTCTACCAAACTACATGTCCCATGTTCCAGAAGATAGAAATATTCATAGCCATCACCATGGGAACCTCAAATCTAACATAGTACAATAAACTCCAAGTTATCCAGCATCCAAACATCTGGAATTTTCATCCAACCAGCAAAATTTTCAGTGAAAATTTACCATTTTTATAAAGTTATTCAAAAACAAATTTGCAGTCAGCATATGTTCCCCCACCATGTGGTAGTTCTCCCAGCTGCCACTGGCGGTGCTACTCATTGTTCTCCCTCAAACAGGTACCATTAAAGTAGAGGCTAGCTGAATTTGTGTTCTCATTACAGTATATGTATCCAAATTCTTTCATCCTTCAATCTGCTGTGTCACCTAGGAAGACTACTATGTAAGAACTAAAGTGAAAGCATCTTATTCTGACTTCATATTGGGTTTCTATGAAAGTTTTTCTCATGCAACCAGATGGTTCACATAAGTAGCAAACCCCATTCCCCATACATCCCCGATAACAGGTACAGGGAATTGTCAAAAATATGGAAACACTTTGTGAAATGCATACCTGAACTGAAGTGTTTATTTTAGCGACGTTTGTAGGTGACGATGTCTTATCTGCCCAATACCACTACCTGTACAACCTCTGAAATATGTTGCAAGCTTCATTTGTTGTCGAGACAGTGTTCTGTGCAGTTTTTAGTGCATCATGTCAGAGCTTCCATAACCAAGGTAGCCGAGGTTTTTGGTGTTTCGCAAGGCACATTATCCAAGATTATGACCTCATACAGGAGGACTGGAAAAACTGCATCCGATAAATACCAGCGTGGACGGAAATGTGTGTTGAGTGATCGAGACAGACGAACATTGCATAGGATTGTGACGAAAAATAAGAAGACTACTGCTGCAAAAGTGGCTGCTGAACTGAATCTCACACTCACAAACCCTGTCAGCACCAAAACAGTATGAAGGGAACTCCATAAGCAGGGTATTTCTGGATGAGCTGTAATTCCAAAGTCACTCATCAGTGAACAAAATGCCACTAAGAAGAGAGAGTGGTGCCAAAGTCATAAAATCTGGACTATGGAGCAATGGAAGATGGTCATTTGGTCAGATGAGTCCCCCTTCACACTGTTTCTGACTTCTGGCTGAGTTTATGTCTGGAGAACGCCATCCCAAGCTTACGATCCAGACTGTTTGCTGCCGAGAGTGAAACATGGCTGGGGTTTCATCATGGTATGGGCAGACATATCGTGGTATTCTGTCAGACCCATCATTACCCTGCAAGGTCACATCACTGCCAACAACTGTGTGACCATTTTGAGCAACCAGGTCCATTCCATGGTGCAAACTTTGTTCCCCAATGGTGATGCCACTTACCAAGATGACAATGCCTGCGTTCACACAGCTCACATCGTCCAGGACTGGTTTTCTGAAACGAAGATGAAGTGTCACGTCTGCCATGGCCTCCATAATCGCCAGATATCAATATTATTGAGCCTTTGTGGTCTATTTTGGAGAGCAATCTGTGTGCGTGCTATCCACATCAATCATTGTTAACAGAACTTGCCAGTGTTTTGCAGGAAGAATGGTACAAGATTAACTTGCAAATCATACAGGACCTCTATTTGTCCATTCCAAGGAGACTGCAGGCAGTTCTGCAAGCCTGAGGTTGTCCTACACCATATTAGTCATGGTAATGTGTTTTTTGTTGAGATGTTTCCATATTTTTGTCCATCCCCTGTGGTTCACTGTATATAAATTAGGTTAAATTAGTAAGACCTGCAAGTCTTGTTGGTGTTGTTGTAGAGCCCTGAGTCGAGCTATTTCCCGTTCCTTTGCCATTCTCTGAGCTTTCAATGCTTTCTCTCGAGCTTCTTCTCTCTCTGCCTTCTGCTGCATGTATGCTTGAATCTACAAAAAAGAAATAAATAAATAAAACAAATTGGGGACAAAAGAGGAATCTCTGTGAAGAACTGACAGTAGTTATTTTCATTTCGCCATCAATATGTAGGTAATGGAGTTTTAAAAGGAAGCACATAATATTCTATGTTTATATAAGATTTCTGGCATTAAAAGCATCCATGACCTGTAAAGCTGAACCACGGGATAAAATCTAAATGAAATTCATAATTTATGATCTTTATAATTACGCACCACACAATTTCACATGCCTTTGTGCAATAATCCATCACTATTCTCAGGAAATAGGAATGTACACGTATGTCTATTTTTGCACAGAATCACGTCTTTTGGGTTATGATGTTGACTTTTATATCATGTTGTACATACATGTAACCACTGTCTCAAATGCAACACTTATTTTCATTTTTCATACATCTTATTACACCACGTTTTGGCTGCACTCAGTCATCATCAGGTGTACACACTTTTGCTAAAATTGTTGCACTGTCACCTTAGTATGTCCCTTGTAAATGCGTTGTTATTTTTAATTTTAAAATCTATAAATTTACAGAAGTTCGTGAAATTGCTGATTCAGCCACTTATTTGGCTTATTTTAAAATCTCTTTAACAAATATTAAATGTATTTTAAAGATCTGTCATCCTAAAAATCTTCAGGAACCGGTGTTTTAAAGTCTCTATAGTGATCATGTTGCAATAAGAGGAGGGGGGAAATTAAGAAGCAGGATATGAAGGTTTTCTCAGTGATATGACTTCATGCCAAGGGCCTCATCCAGTCTCTCATTCTTAGAAATGTCATTATTTTACAGACAGTCCTGTTGACGTGTTAATTTTCATGGATGGAAGAGGTTCCTAGCAACTAGAACTTTACATCGTTAAGAATGAAGACTATAAAAGTATACAGTATACACTTCACAGGACATGTTCAGCAGAAGGAATTACAAGTGAAATAATTAAGACTAGGTCACAATGGCATGCCACATTCAGGTTGCAGATGTAGGAGATGGACTCCAGAAACAGAGGGTAGCTGCAAATGTGTTAAGTAGTTGCAGATAGCTAACAGGGGGTGGCCCTCAACCTTGGGGGTTGGGCGTGGGGCTAACTCCTAACCATAAAAATAAGCTTGTTACAAAATGACACAAAGGGCCTTGGACTTGGATGGAATATTTGGATAAAACGATCTAAGCTAAGGAAACCAGATGTGGGATATAGCATGTGGATTATAAGAAGTCTGTATAGGGCAGGTTCAATCATGACAGTTGTGAAAGAAATATCAAAATATTAGTTAGATTTAGTGGGAGTACAGGAGGTCAGATAGGACAGAGATGACACTGAACCAGTAAGAAAATATAAATTTCTCTATGGTAAAGGGAATCAGAATCATGAATTAGGTACAGGATTTTCTGTACATAAGAGAATCATATTATCAGTCAAAAGAGCAGAGTTTTTTAGTGATAGGATGTTGTTCACAATACTAAGAGGTCACTGGTGTGATATCATTGTTCTGAATGGTCATGCCCTAACAGATGATAAAATGGAAGATATAAAGGACAGCTTATACAAGAAACTAGAATGTGTCTTCCATAAATTCCCTAAATACCATATGAAAATTTCATTAGGATATTTCAATGCCAAAGCAGGTAGGGAAGACATTTTCAAACCAACAATTTGGAATGAGGGTTTATGCAAAATTAGTAATGATAGTGGGGTTAGAGTAGTAAACTTTGCTACATCCAAAAATCTGATTATCAAAAGTACAATGTTCCCACATGATAACATTCATAAGTTTATTTAGGGCATCTGCTGATGTAAAGGTGCACAACCACATTGACAGTATTTCAATAGATAAGAGATGGCATTCAATTGTACTTGATGTCTGGTCGTTCATTGGAGTAGACTGTGATACTGACCACCATCTGGTGGTGGCAAAAGTAAGGGACAGACCAGCAGTGAGTAAACAAAACAATGCACAGGTTTCATATTGAGAGGTTCAAGAAATTAAACTAGGAAGAGGGTAAAGAGCAGCACTGGAAAACTTAGACACTAAGGTGGATACAGTATTAATACAGCTTGGGAAACTAACTTCATGGACCTGAGCCCTTCTTGAGAAGCTGCCACTCATTTAAATTTCTGTCTACAAGTTCTCGAACTGTTCTAAATTTATGGACTGGGTGAACTTAATAGGCACTCAGCCAGTTTGCAAATGCACAAAACCATGAAATACTACAATTGCAGAGTATTCTATAAACAGTACTTTATTTCCTTTCATAAGTAAGCATATAAGAAGCCAGTCTCAATCTGACATTCATATGCCTCTGTCCCTGCAGCAATTATCAAACATTTGAAGAGGAAAATGTATGTGTTTTATTCAGTTCTGCATATGAATGATTTATTTTGGTGATCTAGGGATTGCCAGTATATGTATCACCATACAGTTCAACTTCACCATCCTTGTAAATACTTATACTCAGGTAATAAATTATATCACTTAGACTTAATTAATGTAAGTGAAAGCAAGTGAAAGTGAACCATTACAGAACTTAAAAAAAATCTTGTTTCATGTAATATTACACATTTAACTGTATGGATGATAACTTTTATTAAATTCTACTGTCTGATGCTTACTATGTAAATTTTCACACTTATGTGTATTACACATTTTTTAAATTCAAATGTATCAGTATCTTAAATTTCCCCCCCCCCAGAAAAAATGTTCTGATACTTAGATTGGAGTTTACTCATATATAGTTTCATAGGAACTGATAATTATAATCATTAAATGTTCATAATAATATGACCAGATGTCTTGATCATTATCTTACCCTCAAATTATTAATATGGGCTTCCTCCAGTTCCATTTCATGAAAACGTTCAATCTGACGATTGATTTCATTAAGTTCACATTGCATCTGTTTTTGTTGAGCACGCTTTCTGTTGTAGTCTTCTAGCTCATCCAGCTGAATCTGCTTTTGAACCTCAAGGATGTGCCGACTTTCCTCTTCCTTACGTTCCAGTTCTAAGATTCGTTCTATCTCACTCACTTTTATCTGCTCCTGAATCTGCTTCGCATAAAGATCCTTCTTCACTTTCTCTTTTTCCTCACGCTGTTCTTCATCCTTCAGACACAATAAGAAAATATTCTCTTTTACGCACATATATTTAATTTTTGTACAAGGATTATAATGGTAAGCACTGTCAGTTAGAAATTTTAAACTAATACAAAATCCCACACCACCAAATGCAATTTGGTAAATGAACACTCTGCATTTGAAATATGTTGAAAAAGTGATTTGCTTTGTAGTCGAATTGAAATCTGAGCCACCCTCTAACTGATTCTGAACCAACTTTTGAAACACTATGGATGACAATGGAAAAGCAGAATTAAAAACAGGATGGTCAGCAATATAGTGCATACAAATTTGAACATGAGATTAAGTAGTCACAAATCCTTTTATTTCATACACGCAATGCACGTCTTCTTTCATTCTCCATCATTTCATCAAGACGACATTCTTCATCTTTGAGGTCCTTTTCTATTTGTTTCTTCTCAGCAATCTGTGCATCGCGTATTGCATGACACTTAGTACTCATGATAAGGTGGTTTGCTCTTTTCACCTGTGATACAAAGAAAAGAACATGTTTTGAGTTCAATCAAAAGTGCACTTGAACACAAATCTTGTAAATAACTCTTTGATATACTTTGTACACTACAGAAGTTAGCCTGTGAATGTATGAGTAGATCATATACAATATGTACTTCTCATAATGGACCTCCCTTACGTCAGTTTCTGTAATTTGTCAGCCAAAGCAAAATGATAAATATTTTCAATATGCCACATTGAGAACTGTAATGCCTAGTACTTTTCAGTTATTACTGGTATATCATTGTGTTTGGAGACATGGTGAAACAAAGCAATTACTAACTACACAATGTATGTCTCAGATATTCTTAAATATCATGAAGATATCTCCAAGTCAGAGGCGGTTATACTGCCTACATAGCAAACTCCAGAAGTGCCAGCTTAAGTTACCCACTATAATTTTCATTTTATGAACATGTTGTAACAGTACCATTTGAAAAGTCACACAAAGTATGTGCTTTACACTAAACCTAATCGTATATTGTGATTATGTAATGGCTGCTAACTTCATCCTCTTGTTCCTGTTTAATCTCAAATGCTCTGCGGAGAATGTAAGTTGCCTGCTGATGAGCATCTGATTCTAGTAGAGAATATTTTTGACCATGTAAATGCTTTTGAGACAATTTCTGCATTTCATCCTTTCGAGCCATACATTCTTCTATTAGCTTATTCTTTTTCTTGTCAGCTTCCTCCAGCATATTTAATCTATCCTGTGCTGTAATAACCTGTGAATAAATTTTAGTATTACCAGTCAACGAAGTAATTAACATTCCAAACACATAAAAAACAAAAGAATTATATCAAATCACAATAAATAGCCTCCCCAACTCACACTGAGGCCATTTATGTTGAAGAAATTGTCTGTAAAATGACCTGATTTGATTTGTTTTAATTCGCTTAGTGGGGGGTGGAGTCCAACTGGGTCCACTCGGCATAGCGGCCACTGATTGGCCTATTGTAGCCTGCCCTGGGTGATTATGATGATGGAGAAGTTGGTGGAATTAAGATTGGCAGGGGAAACTGAGGTACTCTGAGAAAACCTTCCCCAGTGCCACTTTATCCACCAAAAAATCCCACTTGACCAGAACCGGGATTGAACCTGGGCTGCCGCGGTGGAAGCCAGTGACTAACCGCTTGAGCTATGGCGCGGCCTGATTTGATATTTACAAAAATATGTGAAGTGCATTTGATTTCAATGGACTACATCACAAAATAACTCATTAGTGTACTTTGATAGCTGTAGGATGACCATCTGAGTTGCATTGTCTGTATTTTACAGCTGTGAAAAGTCACTACAAGAAAGCTTTATACAGAATGTCTGAAGAAGAACTCTGTTGTTTTACTTAATACAGGTTATTCACTGCTTAAATGGAGAGTTAGTACATTTAGAAAATTTAGCACAGAATCTAAGCATTAAAGTAAAGTAAAAGTATCCCTGTAACAGGCCGTGAAGGCCCATTGGGTTGTGAGATATTGAGGCTCTCACATTTTCTAGACAATTGGCTCATAGATGGTGGTAAGGTTGTCAGCCTTACTTGCTGGCCGCCCTTTACCCCCAGGAATATTCCTAATACAGATTTCTGTTAGAGGCTGAGTCGACCCCAGGGTCATAGTGAGACTGGAAGGATTAGGTAAATTGAAAAATTCACCTCATCAGGATTCGATCCCATGACCTTCCAGCTTGTAGCATAGTGTCTCAACCAACTACACCACCATGCTACTGTGTGCCCCCTCTGTCTAAGCATTAGTGACATGAATTCCAGAGATGGCAGCACCACACCATGATAAGTTGGGACTGCATGAAAGCAGGAGTCATTCAGCCACATTGTCATGTCACCGGTGCTAAAAATTTGCAGTGCATATTGTGGTATATGGAATCAGAATCAATGGTGCTATTCAGAAAAATTTCAAGCCTGTGTATCAAAAAGATGCTCCAACTGATAAGTGTACCTGTAAGTGGTATCAACAGTTTCAAGCAACTGGCAGTGTCTAGAAGGACACTCACCAGGTAGGACAAGCATACCACAAGATGACACTGAACACATTCAGGTACCATTTCAGTGCAGCCCAAAACATTCTGGTTGGCATGTTAGCCATCAGTTACAGAATACAAAAAGTATGGTGCATGATGTGTGGTGCACAGGAGATTGAAACTATGTATGCAAAAACTGCAACTTGTGCAACATATCCAGCCTTGCAATAAGCCCAAAAAGGTAAACTGTGTAACATTCATGCTGGAACAGCTCACTGCAGTTGATGATTATCTCCAGAAAATTATTTTGTTTGATGAGGCAATTTTCCACACACACAGACACATGGTATTTTAAACTGGCACAATTGCAGGATTGGGGCAGTGAGAACCAAGTTGTCCTGATGAAGTGCGTTTGCAACAGCCCCAGGGTCAAAGTGCAGTGCACCATCATGTCAGACTGAATTGCTGAATACTTATGCTTACACAGCATCATTAGTGAAGTTTGCCTGAAGATATGCTAGAGAACTCTGTTTCCCCAGAGGTATAGTAGCTGAAGTTGACAGCCTCATTTTCCAACAAGATGGTGCACCAGCCCACTTCAGTGCCATTGCATGAACTGTTCTGGATAATTTCCTGGTTCCTGGATCATGAGGGGAAGGCCAATTAATTGGCCCCCATATAGTTTTGACTTAACACCCACAGACTTCTTCTGGATGTACATCAGTTACTTTGTATATAGTGAAAGAGTAGAATCTCTTCCTGATTTATGCTGAAGGCATATAGTGGCTATCATTATGGTGTCTGTGGTTGTGTTGTCTCATGTGTAGGGTGAAGTTGAATTTCGTTTCGACATTTGTAGGGCCTTCAATGATGCTCATATTGAATTTCACTACATGACAGTAAAACTTGGCAAGATTGTCTATTAGTTTTTGATAATAAGAAATTTTATGTCAAAGCAGTGAATAAATATTTATAACTGAAACTCCAAAGTTCTTTTTGGAAAGCTTGTATTATTGATCAACAAACTGAATACATGTAGATGTTTTGTGATCAATCTGAGGTTTTCAGTTTAACAGCTTCTAATGAATATTACATAAATTATATACATCATTAGGATCCATGTGTTTCAGTCAGTATACTGACTAGGACACAGGTTGGATAACCAGGAAATATGAACTTAATTCTTGGCAGGAACAGTGATTCTTCTCGTTGCTACCATATGCAGACTGACTCTGGGGGCCACTCAGCCTCTTATACAATGGATTTCAGGGCTTTTTGCTCAGGAATGAAGTGGTCAGAGTGTGACAACCACTCGCCTTTACCTGGTGCTATAGGCAATTCTTCCTCCATTCCACATATGAAACTTAATTATTAAATTAAAAAGTTAACCACTTATGATTATTTTATTCCATCACCACAATAGCTAGTATTGTCATACCATACAGTCGTCATTTCTTACAACATATTTTCGCTCATTAAGCCATCATCAAGTATCTGAAATTCTACATTCGCCTGTATTCATATGCTTGCATTCCTACACTGTCCAGTGTTTACACAATGAAATACTATTTGTTAGCAGTATGTAATGCTGTTATATAAAAAAGTGTGTTCACCTCTAAGATGATGTAGATGTATTACTTCTGCCAGTGTATTTCTTTGGGGTTCTTTCTGGTCTTGTATATATGATCCTGTAGTTTGTGTTTCATTGGCTTGTAGGAATATGATTACATTTTCTACTTGTTTGTGTTCCTTGTATATGGGAGAAGTGTTGTGTCTTGTATGTGGTGGTTGTGAAATTGTGCAACACTGATCCAAAACTGTGAAACACCTTGGCTGTGCTTATATATTCTTGCTGCAATTTGTATTGCTTTTTAACTATTGTATGTGTACTTGTTGCAATTTGTATTGCTTTTTAACTATTGTATGTGTATTTGCTGCAATCTGTATTTCCTTTTAACAATTTTATGTGTTTTTTTTTGACAAGTATGGATTATATATGCTAGTGATTTTGTTTGTGAATGTACAAGTTTCCAATGTCTTGTTAGCTTGTTGACATGTTTTATATTCTGTGCCTGTGCACATTTGTGAATAATCTGAAACGCAAATGTATATGTATGTATGGATGTATAAAAAATGACAAATGTTTGGTATGTCCATAGTACCTATTGCAGTGACAGAATACAATAAAGAAAATTTCACACACACAATATGATGCTATGATATATATTTCTAACCTAACTTATCAATAAATATATCAGGCTGTTATTATGTAAATAACACAAGTTATTTGTTTCTGTATTTACCGTGGCTTGCTGTTTAAGTTTATTGAATTCAGCAGTATCCAGCAGAGCAGGATAAACAGTGGGCTCTTGGCTGGGTACAAGCAGTTCTCGGATTTTATCATCATACTCCACTATATGTATGACTTCTTTGCCATCTAATGCTCTTTTATTTGTTGTGGGTATAAGACCTTTCTTAGATTTCACAGATGGCTTATTTCTAGAGTTCTGAGAAACATTTGTTTGGTATCCTCGATGAGACAGAATGACCTTCTGTGGTGTCATTGCAAACAGTAATGTCCTGAAAGCATAGTTTTTCCATATCAGATTGTGTAATTAGTAACTTACTAACTACATGGAGTTGAGTCCTTTTTGAGAAGCTGCCAACTGTGCAGCTAATCAAGAATTTCCCAAAATTTTATGGAACCTGAAGATTCATTACTGTGTTCACAAGAGCCCTCCACTGGTTCCTAACCTGAGCCGGAACAATCCAGTCTATACCACTCCATCTTATTTCTCTAATATCCAGTTTAATGTTATCTATGTCTTTCTAGTGGTTTCTTTCCTTCTGGCTTTCCCAACAATATCCTATATGAATTTCTCTTCTCCCTCATGATGCTGCCGCTGCCGCCGTCGCCGCTGCTACTGCTTCAAATTTAGTAAAATAAACACTTCTTAGAATTGGTAAACTTACTGAGTCTCGTATGGATTTAATCAAATAAAGAGCTTTTCGAATATTGGTATGCGTTCAATATTCATTGTTTGACACACCATATAAGTAGAATTGTCTTCTCAATTTATTTAATTAATACGTCTAATAAATGAACTATTCAAATCAACATTGTGTAAGCGGAATGTAGAATGTAAACAAATGTAGCCATAGCAACCCTTGGCAATACATATGCGACCCCCTCGTTGATCGTTTTCGATAATACCCCGGTAATAATTTGCTGAGGCATTACCATTCACATTTAATCTGCGGCCCTAGGTCCATAGGATTCTGTGCCATAGGATTGCTGAGGGCCGCTTCTTTGGCGTCTCTGTTCCGAAGGCAGAGTATCGTATGATAGCAATCAGTTATATCCCGGATTGTGTGAGAGTTTTATTTAAGTTTCACTATATGTGTCTTCTTTCAGTGTCTGTATGATGCAGAATCATTCAGTATGTTTCAAAGAATTTGTATGAACTTGTTTAGAAAGCAAAGTTCGGAAATTAATATTAGTAAGTATTTTTCTTAACAAAGTTAGGTTAGATTGTTCTTCATGCAGAATATGGGTAAGTGGTTTCTAACAATGACATCGATTATTGGAGTGCCGTAAGAACGGAATTATTTCATACTGTTAAAATTCGTCCCAAGTAACAGAATGGGGCAATGTTCATGGCGTTGGAAGCGCTCTCTTCCCTCCGTTATTCAGTTTGTGAAACTTTAACGTACAGCAGCTTCATGACTTTGATGCAGAATTAACGATAAAAATACCGAATACTGCATGAATCTCCATAGATTACGTTACCCTAGCCTGACCTTACACAAACGAACAAAACAAAACTGCTCTCAACAGAACTATGGTAAGGTACTGTGCAGTTAAATCTGCCCTAGAACGGCATTACTGGGAATAGGCCCTAATCCTTAACTGGAAATTAATCACTAAACTTACGCCGAATTCTAGAGTTAAACTCAGCATGCATCTATCTAGTTACAATTTTGGAATTTAAAATATTCATATTCATGACAGTTTAGCTTATTGCTCATTTACAGTTATTCATTGCCATTATACAGCCCCTTGTATTAATCTTGATTAATTAAAATGTTCATGTCTTGAAAGAATGGCCTGTGAGACTGATATAGCAACCAGTAAATTACATGTAGCTTGTCGCACAATATTCATGTGTGTGATTTAAATTAGGGTAACATTAAGTTGTCAGTTTTATGGAGAAATAGGTAAAATGAATACTTCCCTTTCTCTGTAATACCAGATGTATGTTTTCTTGACTTACCATCTCACAAGTAGAGACTGACTGTGGTGGTCATATTCATTAGTACCTGATACCACCATTTCATATCCATAGTTGCAGAACATAATCTCTTGGGTGCTAATCAGCCACTGTTTCTTTATTCATGCTTTATTCTTCTTTAAAAACATCTCAGAAAAGAAATTAAATTTGAGGTCCTCATGGCAGGGAATGTTAAGATTGCAGTCCTCTAGGATACGACAATGTTACATTGCTGAAAAACCATAAGCTCAAGTCTCTGAAAATAATGTTGTATTTAGTTCTGAAGTCATTGCTTTTTCCTGCATTTCTGCAACTCCTACTGCACATATCGGAAATTGTAATATTCCTTGATCTTACACTTGAATACCATATAATTTCTGTCCATATTGCATATTGTGGAGATAGCCCTTTGATATCCTGACTGCTTTGGCAGACTCTGCCAGGGTCCAGGCAATGCCTGAGTGTAACTTGACCTACAGGATTATTCTAGTTAGAGATTCAGTTTCAGCCTTTTGGCATGGGTCTCACTAATTAAAGCAAAAGTAATTGCATCACATTACATTGCATTGCAATTTCATTCTTTGGATCCAGAGTTAGTCAGAATGACTGTAGGATGTGGAATGTGTCATATAAATGCAAAAACATGTACAGTACAATTGAAATGTTTACACAAGAAAACAGTGGTTATGCATGAGGCTCTTCAAAATACATCCACATATTGTGGCATGTAGACCCGTTGCTAGACAATGCCACCAACACACATGCAGCCAACAATATAGGAGCAGTGTTTTCTATGTCTGTGGATGGACCGTTGCTATGCAACACGCATGCTGACATCACACAACAGTACTTGGCCATCACGTGACATGTTTTCTGTGTGTGCAGTGATCTCACAACAGTGGTGGGTAGCAATCACGTGACATGTGTTTAAAATGATGTATTGTCTGTCCCTCAGGTATATAAATGAGAGAGAGAGTGTGTGTGTGTGTGTGTGTGTACGCACGCAAGAGTGAGTGTGTGTGGTTTTTTTTTCCGGTTAGTGTCTAGCTATGAGAGAGAAATAGTAGTGGTGGTATCACGAGAAGAGATTGATCTAGAAGTGACAGTGAGTGTGGATGAGAGTTCAGTTCAGTTAAGAGTTATGAGAGAGAAATAGTGGCAGAAGCACGCAAATTGAGTACAGAAGAATACAGGAGGTCAGCGTGTGAGGATCTAACATGTGATTTCAAGACTTTATGTGTGCTATAGTGCAGTGGGATTGGTAGTGTATAGTTCTGTGAGACTTATGTAGCTCCCGTATTATAAATACGTGAAAACTGCTGCAGATGGACTTAGAAGATTAGCATGTAGTGAGTGTAAATGGTGTAAACCTGCAACGGTGTAATAATTAAGTGTAGTTACGACTAGTGAAGATCCATTAAACCAATTACCAATCTAAACCCTGTTTCCAGTCACCCAAACATATAACAATATATACATCAATACTCTCAACTTATGCAATTTAGACAGCCTGTGAATGGATAAGTCTCTTTTCAGACAATAAGTATTCATCAACAGAGTAGAATGAGTGAGTGTTTAAGTATCATTTTAATGCTCTTTTATATCGTGCCTTTTCATTCATAAGACTTTTCAGATTGTCTCTGCTCATACCCTTCACTAACTACAGATGATGAAAACGTTATTTCTCTGAAGGTAATTAATCTCCCATTCAACAGGGAAAATTCATTTTATAACAAAATAACCAATAACCAAATAAAAACTAATTCATAAAAACATTTCATTTATTTATCCAGTAGACCAATATAAAGTGATATTGGGTGTCATATAAAGATTACAATAAATTAAAGGTGTTTGGCTGGAAAGCAAAGCAGTGACAAGACATACACAGATAAAAAGATTCCAAACTAAATGTTCATTAAAGTATGTACAGGGTGGCGCAAAAAGGTGGGAACTTTTGAATGTGATGTTGGCAGCAGTGTGAGGGGAGAAGAAATGTGGGGAGGGTGGTAAGTTGTAGAGTAGCACTGGAGGTTTAGTAGCCATGGAACAGTTGAACGTTCAAGAACGCGTAGTAGCCGTGCGGGCTTATTATCGACAGGGCGACAGTTTGGTTGAGGCCTTACGGGAGTTTAGGCGGCATTTCAACTTTGCCCCTCGTGCCCACGCTCCATCTAAACATGCAATTCGAACGTGGGTTCAAAATTTCGAAGAGACTGGTTCAGTGGGAAAGAGAAAGTCTTCTGGTCGTCCAGGAAGTGCTTGGACTCCGGAAAATGTCGAAGCCGTGCAAGCCTCCGTCTTGAGAAGTCCACATCGCTCAGTACGGAAAGTCGCAGCGGCAGTGACTGTAAGTCGTCTGTCTGTCCAGAGAATACTCCATGAACTCAAGTTTCATCCCTATAAACTGCAACTGGTGCAAGAACTGAAACCTAATGACCATTTGTTGCGCCGACAGTTTTGTGAAGCAATAATGAACAAAACTGACGAGAATCCTGATTTCATTGAAAATCTGTGGATGTCAGACGAAGCTCATTTTCATTTAAACGGGTATGTGAACAAGCAGAACTGTCGGTACTGGGCACAAGAAAATCCTGCTGTTATTCATCAACGACCTCTACACAGCCCCAAGGTCACTGTATGGTGTGCAGTTTCGGCTCGAAGGGTGATAGGACCATATTTTTTTGAAGACATCGCAAGAAACACGTGACAGTAACTTCTGAGCGTTATGTAACCATGCTTGAGACGTTTCTTGCTGCAAGAATTCACAGTGTACCGAACATTGATATCGAAAACACTTGGTTTCAACAGGACGGGGCGACCGCATACACCGCACAAGTGTCAATGGCAGCAGTCAGGCGTCTGTTCCCCAGACTTATCAGTGTGTGATTTTTATTTATGGGGTTACTTGAAGAGCGTGGTCTACAATACACGCCCCACAACCCTAGCCGAATTTAGAAGACGAATAACAGAAGAGATCGCAGCAATACAACCCGACACTTTGCTCCGAGCCATGCACAATTTTCAGGATCGACTTGCACAGTGTATTCGGCAAGATGGACATCATTTTCGCGATGTTATTTTCAAACTGTGAGTTATTTTTAAATTTCCAACGTAGAAGTGCACATTGAGTACCTTGATTAAATAAAAAAAAAATTGTATTTTTTTCTCTATTTTCAAAAGTTCCCACCTTTTTGCGCCACCCTGTATATTGAATGACAGGATTGTAATAACAAATATAAATCACTCCGTCCAATGTGACCTGTAAGTTTTTTACTACATGAAAACTCAGCACCCTTACATGTTTCGGTCTCTGTGGACCAACCTCAGAGGGCAAACATCACTACAAACAGGAAACCACCATCACATAAGTTGTTTAGACGTAAAGTACGTACACTTATATGCTACAATACATAGTACACAAAATAGAACATTTCACAAACACAGCAGTTTCCTGGGAATCTGAAGTTTTTTGCAAAGCATTGTAATAATTACAATTGATATTGGATATGATATAACTGATGTTTAGTANGCCGCGGCGCGCACTTGATTGTACGCACTGTATAATACAATATGAAGTCAGAGCTGTTCTTCACATGTGAGTCTGAAGCCTTCTTGTGAGCCTGTAACAAAGTACATGCTGTGTAATAATTTCCTAGAATTTTACCAGTAATTTAGAAACTTAAAGCAGCAAACTCTCTTACCTGACAGAAGCTGTTTTGCCTACTTGCAGTCAGTATCACTGGAACCAAAGTTCATAGACTCTGAGGCAATGTAATCCGTTCTTTGACCAGTAGGATGACTGTTGCCAGTCTGCACATCTTGTCTGAGTTCTTCAAATCAAATGTTGGAGACTCCTGGCATGCACATTACATGCTTGAGATTACTAGAACACTTTTTCACTGTGAAAGGCTTACATACTTTTCTCTAATTTCATTTCAGAATGTAGGTGTGGTGCAACATTTCAAGGAAATGCAGAAGCAAGACACCAAAGAAATCTATTGTTCACCAAAGAAAAGCAACGACAACGGGAGAACATAGGACGAATAGAAAAAATTGAAGTACAATATACAGGGACCCCAGAAGATGTGACATTAATGATGAACAAGGGCATCTCTACCCCATTTAATTGTGCACAGCGTAATAATTTTATTATTCTGCTTGTACTTCTATGGTTTATGTTTCTTCACAGACTAAATATGTCTTATCAATGTACACATGTGTATTGCAGACATGTCAGAGATGCTTATGCAGCGTTCAGCATTGGCCCTGATAGATGACACAACACTGTGGGATATGAATCATCCATTGGAAGCAGACTGCCAGCTCCGACTCTTGCATTTCAGAGATCCTGACCCATATCATGTGAACAAAGCTTTCTGGAGGTCTTGTTCCATGCTTTTAGGAGCTATGGCTGAAAATGTCTTCAAAGAAGAAGTGCATGTTGAACTACATAGCTTCCCTTCACCTAATGGTTTGTTGTTTCCATTTTTGCCTCAGTGCATTAAGTACAGATAAGAGAGCTTAAGTATTGAAACATTTAAGAATGATGAAAACTTTTCAATTACATTCTGGAGATACACAGATAACATTCCTGAAAATTTATTCCCACATTGTTTTGGTAATCCTAGCCATACCCCAATATGTATTTTTTGTATTGTCATTGCATTCCAACCTGAAATTCTGCATCAAATTATGCGAAGCTTCTGCATTTTCCTCATTACCTGCAAGTCGCTGGGTGTATTGGACCAGACAGTTCTTGCTTCCAGGCCGCTTTCTTCTCCAGGGGTGAATATAGTTTGCCCAACTTTTCCCTTTGTCATACAGCCCTCAGCAATTATTCTGTGGTGCAGGGGTGTTTGTGACATTCTGGAAAGGTCTGCAGCATGCCTAATGTTTTTGCCTTCAATGAAAACTTTTAGAGCTTTATTCCTTATCTTTATTTGTTGTATCCTGTTGTGTGTCATTCAAAACAGTATAGTTGTATCTGTCAACACAACAATTCAATTAAAAGTAATAACAAAGGTTATATACATTATTGTTAATCACACCATGTTTCAACCCCTACTGGGTCATCATCAGTTGTATCTTTGTCTACTTGGATGCTGAATTTTTGTTCAGTATGGATCCATATTGTTGTTCATATTTGATTGTATGATTATGTGATTATTGCTTAGTACTGAACCTCTGGTTTGTTTAATCTTCGGCTTTAAACCGTATTGGTATAAAATTAAATTAAATTAAAATGAAGTTAGTTTAAAATTAATTTAAACTTAATTAAGGTTAAAGTTAAAAGAATTTTAGTACTACACCATAGTGTGTATGGGTTTGTACGAGGAGCGTTCCGTATATAATGCCTCCTATTTTTAATGAAAACTACAACAGATACAGAAAGCATAATAACACAGTTAAATAGAACAAGCTTTCAGCTACTTACAGTTATTTTTCCACATAATCACCACCATTCGTTATGCACTTTTGCCAACGATGAACAAGAGCCTGTATGCTGTGCTTGTAAAAGTCTGCCCCAGCAGAGGCTAGCCACTTTCTTACAGCTGCAATGACAGCATCATTGTCTGGAAAATGTTGCCCATGTAGTCCGTCTTTCATAGGCCCAAAGAGATGGAAGTCTGAAGGTGCTAAATAAGGTGGATGTGGTAGGACAGTCCAGCCAAACTTTGCAATGTGCGCTGTATTTGCCAAACTGGTATGGGGTATAGCATTATCGTGTTGCAAGGAAAAGGTTGTCTGCTTCTGTGGCCTGACTGGGGAAATGCGGGCTTCCAGCTTAGCCAGCGTCACCTTGTAGTGTTCAGAATTGACAGTCTCTCCAGGCTCCAGGAAATCAAAGAAAATCACACCCCGCCTATCCCAAAAGACCGTACACATCACTTTCCCTGCCGATGGCTGTGTTTTGAACTTCTTTTTTCTTGGGGAATCCGGATGTCGCCACTCCATGGACTGTCTTTTGGATTCCAGCTCGTAGTGGTGACACCACATCTCATCTCTGGTGACGACACTGTCCAGAAACTTGTCACCTTCGGCCTCAAACTGGTGTAACAGGTCCTGACAGACTTCCATTCGATGAGTTTTGTGGTCCTGTGCAAGCATCCACGGGACCCACCTGGAACAAATTTTGTGATAATCCAGCTTCTCCAACATCGTTTCCAATGCATTACAGCTGATATTAAGCCATGCACACAGTTCCCTGGCTGTTATCCGCCGATCTGTACGGATGAGCTGATCGAGGTGCTGTTCATTGTGAGGAGTGGCAGCTGAGCAGGAACACCCAGGGCGTGGTTTGTCATGCACTTCACTTTCGCCACTGTTGAAATGCACTATCCACCATCTCACTGTGCTGACATCCACTGTTATCGTCTCTGTACACCTTTAGCAAACGTCGATGGATATCAATGGGTGCAATTTGTTCGATAGTGAGAAATTCAATAACACATCTCTGTTTCCTACACACTTCTGTGTCAGATGCCATTTTGGTAGACTGCTCTGCTGTCGCTATCTGTCGCATGACAACAAAACTAAAAGTACAATGGCGGAAGGTTCAACCTTTACTACAACACCACCAACATCCAGCTCAGACGTTACATATTAACACAAAAAAATATGAGGCATTATATATGGAATGCCCTTTGTATTAAATTGTCAAGTTATGTATTTGACCCCACTAACAGTAGACTGGCTATCCTGTCTTGAGTCTTTCTTGATATTGCAGTTATGATGACGTTGGTGACCAGCTTGTGATGTTATGGGTCTTTTGCACTGCACGTTCATATGTGCTGCCTCTTTATTTATACCATTTCGGAGTGTAGGTTGAGATATGTGTTGTCATGTTTTCTTTATGATACTTAGTGCAGCTCATGTCTTGTTCTGTATTTGATCATTGAGACTCTGTCAGAGCTATCGTACGTTTGGTACATGGATCTGAACATTCATTTATAGGACCTGAGAAGGTTCTCGTACTGGGCAGAGACAAAAAAAATACTGGTAGCCCACAACAGGACTCAGACATGCAAATGGTTATTAAAACTAAAATTCTGGACTATATCCATCGTCCCAGTCAGTTGCACCACGACGTTTCGGCAGCTGGATCTGCTACCGTCCTCAGGTAAGTAAAATGGAGGTAAAAACGGGGAAACTGGGAAAAAAATTAAAGGTAAGGAGGGTTCTTATGTATCCTATACAGTTGGGTCCCTTAGATCAAGCTAATCTCAATCACTGGACAAACTGGCAGGGGACGAGATCAAGGGTGATCAATTCATAGTGGGAAGTTGTCAATGGGAGATAAAAAGACGAATCAAGATAAAAAATTATTGAAAGACACAAATCGTCTGGGACAAGGAGCAAAGAAAGAATTGAAATATTCTACAGGAATATAGAGTGAAGGAGAAAAGGAAAAAAAA